AAACCGGTATATGGCCCTTAAGAAGATTCGACTCGAAAATGGGGACGAAGGTGTGCCGTCAACAGCAATCCGTGAGATTGCTCTCCTTAAAGAGCTTCAGCACCCCAATATTGTCAGGTGATGGATATTTACGCAACTAATGTTTCCTAGTTTGGAGCAGGTGATCTTAGATGGTGGACGACTGTACCTAGTTTTTGAGTACATGAACCTGGATCTTAAGCACTACTTGGAGACGGAATGTAAGGAGAGGCCCCTTGATCCAGTACTTGTTAAGGTAATCTTGTGTTGGTGTTGTTTGTAATGGATTTAGAGTTTTATGTATCAAGTGCTGCAGGCCCTTCTGTTTTGCCATGCAAGACGCGTCATTCACCGCGATCTGAAGCCTCAAAACGTTCTTGTTGATGTTGGTAGAAATATTGTCAAGCTGGCTGATTTTGGTTTGGCCAGAGCGTTCGGAGTGCCTATTCATGCTCTAACTCACGAGGTAAGTGGCCTTCTTAAGAGTTCTGCTGCGTGTTACAGGTGACATTTACTCGGAAGGTTTTTAGGTAATTACTCTGTGGTACCGGGCCCCGGAGATCCTGCTGGGGTCGAAGCGGTATTCTTGTGCCGTGGACATGTGGTCGATGGGTTGCATATTTGTGGAAGTGGCGACGAACGAGGCCCTTTTCCGTGGTGATTCGGAAATTGACCAACTTTTCCGTATATTCCGTACGATGGGTACACCAACAGCGGAAGAATGGCCAGGCCTAGTGGATCTATCAGGATATAAAGATAAGTCGTTTCCGATTTGGCGTGAAAACCGACTGTGTGATTTGGAAAGGATAAAAACTACGTTTGATTCGGCCGGTCTTGATTTGCTATTGGTGAGTCTAGTTGGCAGAAGCCGTGCTGAGTCAGTGTCGTGACTAGAGTAATTTGCGACATCCCGAGGTTAAATGGTTTCTCTGTCCAAGTGGTAAGGTGAACGTGAGGTAGAATACAAGCCTATTGTCTGAGGCATTGTCCCATTCTTAGTCCTCCGAAATGCGGTATTACTTGCCATGCCGTTTTGAGAGATCAGATGTTTGTTTTTGTGTCATCAAACGTTTGATGTATCAACACTTTGTTGTAACCTAGAAAGCGTTGTAGTTCAGTTATTTGGGCTAATATTCACACCCGTCACAGCGTGGTTACCAACGTGATGACCTATTTTGGAATGCTCAAGCCTAACAAATCAAGTTGTTTGTAGGGGATGCTTATTTATGAACCGACGCGACGAATGTCATCCCGAGACGCCCTGTTGCACCCATACTTTGAGGATCTTGACCGAACTCAGTTGCCTGCTTGTGGTGAGGAGTACGTCGGTCTTCCCATCGACCATATTCCTCGCGAAGTCGCTACTATATTTGCCGCTGGCGCGGGCGAGGAGCAAGCGTTGGAGGAATTGGAGAATATCGACCTAGATCAGGTAGGCTTTGGTCAATTATTGTTCTGGTGCCTTCGTCACACAAGTTTGTCGTTCATTTAATGCTCTAGAAGTGATTTTGGCCACTGATTTAATTGTTGTTGTCTTTTTTAACTCTGGCTCTGCTTCCTACTCGGTCACAATCGTTATTCCTATAAAGCACAACTGAGGGTTGCGGTTTGTGTAAAGGCGGTCGTGTTTCTCTCAATCTAGTTTGTGTCTCCTAACTTTACGTGTAACTCTCAGTGTAGGTGCATTTGCCCACCGCGGAACGCGTCGCAGACCAACGCATCGACGGTCTAGACGCGTCGATGCACGGATGTTTGAACACCATGAAATCTGTCTAACACTTTTCTTTTGTCCCCAAAGATTCCGATCGAGCCATCGACGGTGGCCCTGGGTGCGGCCTCGTTTCCGGTAGCCGTTGCTCACGCAAAGCTGATTCAACAACAACGAGAAGGCGAACGTCAAGGCACCAGTGAGCCGCTGTCGGAGAATCAGGTTGTCAACATGTCCATCGACTAGGCCGCTTTTCTCGTCTTCATTCTTTTGCACGGATTTGTTACACGAAGTTTTCACTTTGCTTTTTTTACGTCGTTGTTGTTTCGCGCTACACTGTATTCTTTCTACCGGTAAAAACATCAGATTTTCGTGGTTTAATGGCAAACATGTAATTTAGTTGTTTTAGAGTCACTTTTGGGATCCGATAATGACTCCTGTTTTGGCCAATAAACCCTGGTTGTGTCTTGTGTGCCGTCATTTTTAGTGAAAATGTAGTCTTTGTTGTACAACACCTACCAGTGGTTCAATGTGAAGAATTATGACCATGATTGACCACTGGTTCTTGTTATTCGGGCCTGATCGTGACTGTTTTTGTGTGGCAGCACAACACCAAAGATAATGGTAAATGTGACAGTGAGTTGTTGGGTGGGTGGGGAGGGGGGCGTCTGAATGTCAGCTGAGCCACAATAGTTGCTGTCGGGAGTCGTCTAGCGTGTCAGTTGATGCTACTTCTCGGCCAGTCGGACAAACGCGGTTGCATGAGTACTGTGTGTGGATGATGGTGTAGGCCAAATCTACTTACGACAGTGGGTAGATGAATCTGATAATGCCTGCTTTTTTGAGGTGGTTCATTTAGGTTCGACGCGGATCAATCATGACCAGTGGGTGTGCTTGGTGTTTAACTAGCGTGATTCTGTCGCAATTGTGGTCTTGTTGGGTGGGCGTGCAAGTGGTTCACAGGACGCCGCTCAAGATGGCGCGTTCTGTCTCGCGTCGCCGTCTCTCCAGCTTCTCCATCTGTGCAAGAATCCTGGAGATGTGCTGCACCACGGTGTTGACCTTCACCTCCACATCGGCTATGCGCTCGTTCAACTCCTCGCAGTCCTCGGGATCAGCAAACTAAACAGAAAGTCAGAGCGCTGAAGTGTCTAATTAAGTAGTGTGTGTGTGTGTGTGCTATTCGAGGTGGTTCTTACCACGTTTGTGTCGTAATCACAAAGGGATGTTTTCTTCTCGCCTGCGTCGTTGTTCTCCTCGTCGTCAGAGTCGTCGGGTTGAAAAGCAGTCTGAAACACCGCAAAAGAGTTTCGTGTTTGAATGATACGTACAAACATCACTTGAGCTTCCAGAAGCTCTAGAACACAGTTCCACCAAAATTTCCCTCTGACTTACATTGTCAGCAGCTTCCTTTCGAATCCCAAATGAGATTTTTGTGCGACGAATTAACAACAGAATATATTTTTGTAAGATCAAGTTCTTAGTTCCAGGTGGTCTAGACCCGAAATCCCTTAAAAGGGGTCCTGGTTGCATTCCATTCCATGTGAAGTAGTAACATGCCAGTTCTGCACTTCTCTGTAATGCTTTTAGCAACCCACTAGCAGATTCATAATTCCCTCTCTTTTGTTTTACTGGTTTGCGCGTTCGCTTAGCGGTAATCTCAATTCCGATCACCTCTTTTCTGATTGGCTTATTACTAACTGGTACATTTCAAGTCATAAATGTAGTTTGTGACGTATTTGCCATTAAAAAGACAAGAGTTTACAGTAAAAGCATACAATTTAGGGCAAGAATCCAACTAATCATGCAGTGTTGGGGTGTTGTAAGGTAAAGACGATCACCTACCCCCATTGACATGTCCTCACGCATTTTTCGACATTCCAGGAAGCTTAGCACATTGTCACCGTCTTTGTCGTATTTGTGGAAAAGGAAGTTGCTTTCCATCTCCGAGTAACCGGCTCTTTAACGAAGAAACATTATCAACAGAGGTAATTTCAGTAAATAGGGAAAGCTCAAGAAGCGATAAGAGTTCACTAATGCAATTCCAACCTACGATTTCATTGCGCGTCTCCAGTTGCCGAAACTTAGCTCCATCTGGTCGCCCACTCCAGCTGAGTCCAAGACTTTGTCCAGCGGCATCCGTTTTTTCTTCGACAGCCTCGCCAAAAACTGCTTTGCACTCTAGCGGGAAAGTTTAAATTAAGCAAATTTGGCTACTAGTTTTAAATAGTAGTCGGCTTATTTGGGAAAATTTACTCACATGGCGAACGTAGCCAATGAACTTGAAGTCATTCTTGCGTTTAACCATGTCCTTCTTAACTTTTGCGTAGGCCTCCCCAATGATAGCGAGGAACATGTTGAGGAGGACAAAAAACACGAAGAAAATGTAAATGATGAAGTAGACCGGTCCAAGGACGATGTGCGCCTCTTGTATTGCTTCAATATCGAAGTCACCGAGAATGATTCGGTAAAGCGTGAAGCTGACATTAAAAAAGAAGATTCCACATTCAGATAAAAGTAGACAAACTAATCGCCACGTAGTGACAGACAAGGTTATAGGCTCGCTTGCTAACGCAATGACCTCCCATCCAATCAAAATCGACTTTGACTTACGCGGTTAAATCAAATGACTTGAATTCCGGATTCGTTTGACCAAACATTAGCGTCCCCGCTTGTGCAAAGGCAGCAAAGACAATCGTGAACATGACGGTGAATCCGAACATATCGTACAACGCGTAGTTGAGAGTTGCGATTAATTGTCCCATAGTTTCACTGAAGGTCACGTATTTAAAAATCTACAATAAAATACAAACATTCTATCCAACTGAGTGATGCCGACGTCAACAATGATAATAAAATATCGATTTAAGCTACTCTGCAATCGAAGGGTCATTCCACGTTTCTGTCCAATAGCTTCGTTAGCTTGACAGCTTCACTTGATTGGTTAATGGTTACGCGCCAATTTAAAATCAAAAGTTGTCGGGTGGCGTGCATCTTCAAGCTGAGTTGATTCGCCGATTAATTAAAACACTAATTGTGGTATTGATGACAGATGAATCGCAGGTGAATCCACCGTAACTAACCTGAACAAGAGAGAAGAACACAAGGAGAGTGAGCACGCGGTTGTACTGCAGTGAAATGAAGCCGATGCTGACGAATTCGGGGTAGATACCATAATGTTTTATTCCCCTTGCTAACAGTCTACGGACGAAAATGCGGTTGTAGAAGTTGAGACCGACACAGGCGATGCTCAGCGCAATGATCCCCAAGGCAAGCAGGTTCCAGAACTGGCAAAAGTAGGCCAGTCCTAGCTTCTTGATCTGTCATTAAAAGAAACCAAGATCAGGCGGTGACGGTGTGGCGTATCGTGTGAATTTTACGTCACACATCGCAAACAACTGACGTGTCTGCGTTCCTTCAACATCTCCCACGACATTTACCTCGCAAACTCCAACCATAAATACGCCCGTTGAAGGGCAGGTGTTTCATGAAAGGCGACTAGACGGTAAAGCGAGGTAAATTGTGGGGAACATCAGCTGAAGGCAACAATCGTGGTGACAAGAAGTGACTTGCCTTGATGCAATCCACGACAACATAGTAGATGACAAACGCCAGCAGGGTCAGTTCACAGACGAAAATCACGTATTCTGCGACAGAGTGTTGACGGAGTAGGTACATTGTCCGAAAGTCGGCCGATGCAATCACTCCGCCTGTGTAAGGCGTCTCGAACAAAATCCTAAGAAGGGAGATGGTAAAAGCCATCCACACTAGTAGCTGTTAGTTATGACGCACGATTTCATAAAACACGAATGCAATTGTAGAATGTGTATAATTTGAAATGATGTTGGTGTGGGCAACGAGCTGTCTAAAGACGCATCAAACTGTCTACTTAACACAATTAAGTAAACTGTTCTTGAAATATTAATTATCCAACAAAATTAAGTTCGACTACATGGAAAATCCCCAGTGCGAGCATTAATCAATGCGAAACTGCCAGGGGGATGAATAGGACATTTTTTTGAAAAAGATCACAAGTTATTGAAGTAGACCTAACACTCATTCGACCTAACACCATGTGATTTTAGTAAAAAGGAGTAATTGAAGGCTAAAAGGGACTGCCACATACTGTCCAACACAGAAGAAGTTGAGGTTGGCGTTGTAAAGGGTGAAGTCGAGAATGATGGCCCGAGTTGACTTGCCAACCCAGAGACCGTGTTTCAACTCGTTCAGCATTGCTTTTGCTTCGGAGCGCGAGGAAGCCAGGTCGAGGTAGTACCCGGAGCCAGTGTAACTGGCTATCGTGCCGGCGACGCCTCTAAGCTTGGACTCAGATGCACTCCTCCATGTCCACCTTAGCAAACAGAAAAAGGGGAAGGCAAATTACTTGAATAATATGTGCTGCTTATAAACACAAAGTAGCAAGTATTGGTGAATCGAAAGTAAATCGGAAACCCACAGACTGACACTTACGCGGGTTTGCTGAATGTGGTGCTCTGGTTATTGCCAGGCACCAGTGGTTGTCTGCTCTCGAGATTTGGGCTGAAATTCGGGAAGCAGCGGGGAAGGCCGGCTTGAAGGTAATCGGGTGTCTCGCAGTCGGTGGATTGCACACGCACCTGGCGAATTCGTGGACGACCCACCAACGAATTCATCTGCAACCTCTTCGAATCGCTGGTGTAGGTCGCTTCCAAAAAGTCCTCTTGGATGTACTGCACACGTTTTTCGTTTTAGCAATTTCATACAAAACGAAATGGAGTTGATAATTTATTGGATAAATTAGATGTAGGTGGTGGCGCATGCTGCGCTTCTGTGTTTAAAGCACGCGATAAACTAAAACTCTCAACCCATTTTGCTTATGCAAGCACCGCAAGTGGGCCAACTCACCCGCCACATCTGTGGCCAGTTCTTGATGTTTGAAAAGGACTTGTCTCTAGGGGCACTTGGAGGAAACAGCAATTTCGTGATGTCCGTGAAGAAGTGGGTCTTCAAGAAGAGAGTTGGCAGCAGCGCAACTAGGGGATTAAAAAAGATTGGAGGGTTTTAGTTAAGCGACCTCTCTAATTGGCGGAGGCGATATAAGGGTCATTTTGATTGGTGGATGAGCAGTGAGACACTCTTGGGTGTTTAGTTTGATGTTAAAGGTTTTTCTAACGAAAAATTGCTCCTGAACATAGACGGATTAATAAACAAGATTGAATATTAACTGTCTGCGTAGCAGAACTTAAAGGAGAATTTATAGCTAATCAAAGAAATGTACTTCTAATCGTGTTGAGCATAATTTAAATAGTTATGGCATTATATTCGCCCATTACATTGTTATTTGGACCAAAGAAGTTTGAAGTACTTCACAAATGATTAAAACAAACTGCATAATTGGATCTATTTTAAGATAGCACATCACCAGTGTACTTGAATTTGTTACTGCCTCCAAAAGACTTGACGAAATGTCCACGTACTGGTTAGAATAACAGCAATGAACATCAAGTGGATCACCAGATCACGGACGGTAGTTTTGATCTGAGTTTGCTTATCCTCCATTGTCTTCCTGTTCCGCGTGTCCCAGATATCTAAAGGTACACAAATATAGCTATTGAAATGATACAAGTAACGTGTTAATTAGGAATAAAGTGCTCGTTTTTTAAATGTTCTGGTTAATTACTTCGAACGGATATCCGTCCCAATTACATACACATGACACATTACTCGAACACACTAACCCTTGAGAACTTTCACAAAACGATTGTCATTCTTGGCTGAATCGCCATCGACTTTAATATCCCCAAAGTGACAGGCAAAGTATTTGTCGTGTTGACCTTGCAGAATTGAAGCGCCACTTCGCTTTCTTAGACCAATGTTATCGTCGTCACCGAGATCCGTCGAAAATATGTCGTCCAATTCCTCTTCCTTTTCCCTTTGAGAAGAGTCCGTGCGCTTCTAAATGCGTCAAAACAGAAGACAGTATAATGGCACAAGCCCGACGATTCAAGACATTTTAGCAGGATGCATGACTACTCAAACATAATTACATTATATTTGCCCATTCGTTCGCTGTTGCTATTGATTTTGAGTAGATTAAAGTATTTTTTGCCTGAATACGAGATTGCGCAAAATCGGTAATTTCCTTGGTGAATTGCAGAGGACTGTTAATTCTGCATTTTGATTGGTGAATTATGGAGGTCAGCTTGGGCCTCCCACGTCGTAGACTCAGAAGTATCCACTAGGCCGCGTGAGCACTGCTCACTCGGCTCCTGGGAGCAAGTATCGATTTTTGAACTTTGATTCACCGGCTGACTCACTGAGCGACGCAGTCATTGGCGGACACGAATTCAATCGATTATTTGGAACGCACATCACGTTAAGACGTCTGTGCTAGGTTCGACGTCAAGCGTTCTTACATGCGGCAACATGAGTTAGCATTCTTACATACAACGTTCATTACAACTTGCAAAATTTATAAAATCGATTTCGAGTAGCAAGAAAACTTCTAGAAGAACAAAATCACGGAATTGAGGTGAACTAGTTAACCCAAAACAGATTATCCTTTGCAAACTCTGTGTTAAGTAGAGTATTTGTTAAAAATTTATCTTTACTAATTTGCCATGTGATAGATTTTTAATTGGACTTGAAAGGTGTAGGATTGCAAAATTCCCAGAAAAAAATAGTGTCCACCGTTCTCCTCTCCTCTACTTTCAATATTAGGGTTGTTTTAATCCAAAGAGCAGTTTCACAAGTCAAACACTACTGCATTTTATTGGCATTCAACGGAACATCTTGCATTGCGGAGACACAGATTCAGCGTTAAGACGATAGGGGTTGCCGTGATCAACACAAGATCCACGCCATTCGTTCGTAAACAGCCAGGGATTGCTGTGATTGGTCCAACTTAGCACCCGCATATTTACGCGAAGCATATTTAAGAGAAGCAGTCACTGTCCGCAAACGTCATGAGCACAAAGTTCCGCATCAATCATGGGTGACTACGAGATCGCGCTGGGTGCTAGCACCTTCATCAAGCAGGCGATCGACCTGCGTCCCGACGTTGGCATCGTCTGTGGCTCCGGTCTGGGGGACATTGTGGACTTGGTGGAGGACAAGCAGGTGCTTAAGTATACAGACATCCCCGGCTTCCCTGTCTGCACAGGTTTGTCAACTTCACTCATCGTTTTTACGCTCAGTGAGTGGACACGGCGGCTGCTTCGTTTTCGGCCGCATGGGCGGCAAAAATGTGTGTGTCATGAAAGGTCGATTCCACCCCTACGAAGGTTATTCCTACAGAGAGGCAAGTGCTCGTTTTGCTGTTTAAAAGCCTCGTTTCCGATTAAAAGCTGCTCCACTAGACTTGTAACATGGATAGTGGTGACCTTGAGAATAGCCAATCAACAGCAAGAGTCGTCATTTTTTCCCAGGTTGCTCGTCCAATCCGTGTGATGAAGCTGTTGGGTGTGAAGACGCTCATCGTAACCAACGTGGCCGGAGGTGTGGACCTCAGTTTCAAGATCGGCGACATAATGATAATTGAGGATCACGTGGACTTCGCGTCGATGGTCGGTAGGAATCCACTAATGGGACCCAATGACGAAAGGTAAGGTGCACGTCAAGTCAAAGGGCCAACACACGCGACTGTAGGTTCGGAATTCGATTCCCCTCGATGACTGGAGCCTACGACAAGGAACTGCGAGCTGTGGCGCACCAGTGTGCCGACGAGATGGGACTGGGGGATGTTGTGAGGGACGGCGTGTACTTCTACCTGGCTGGACCTGTCTACGAGACACCGGCAACAAGCCGAATTCTGCGTGGACTCGGATGCGGCACCGTCAGTAAGCATAACTTCGTTGATTTAAAAACCCTCCACAACCACCAGAAACACGTGGACGTGTGCTTTTGACTTCATGTTTACTTAAATACATGAAAAAGAGGACTGGTTTAGGTGTCGCGCAGTGATTTAACTGCTTTCACAATTTGTTAGTGATACGAAGCAGTTGCGCTGAATGCACATTAGTCATGGTTCTTCTCACTTGAACATTCCACAGGTGCGGCAGCAGATTGCCTAACATCTATGCGATGTTAGCGTACAAACGTAAATTTCTCGGTTGTTAATTTAAAAAAAAATTGTTGGTAGGCTACTACACACGAAATTTAGCCTGGCGTGTGAAGGTGAGTTGCTGGCTTTCTCAAATCGTCATTCCAATAATTCGAGAAACTATTAATCCTATTCTCTCTTGATCTGATCCCTTGGGTTTCAATACGGTAACTCAATTGTCACAATTAAATGATTGAAAATCCCGTTCCAAATAATACGCCAAAAATTCCATTCGTGACATTCGACTGATGAAGTATTGTAAACGCGCTGACCCCATGGAAACTCTGTAGGATTTTGCTCGAATTACGTGTCTTACTACATGTGTTCGTTGTTTAAATTTGATGAATGGGATTAAAAACCTAATATTTCATTAAACAGAAATACTGGGAATGTGGAAGAACCATGCCGTTACCTTAAAGACATGCTTCATTGTATATCTAATTCACCCAATCAATTACTGTCTTACATACTCTATCGATAAGAGATTGTTTTATTTTAGATTACCGAATGATTTAATTAATTGTTAATTGCGAACGCTAGGTTCTCAAGTAGGAAGGAGTTTTCATGGTAAACTTACTTCTGCGTATCCGTGCTTAGTCAACACGGAAATGTGATTGGTTCGTGGCCTAACGAAATACTCCAGCCATTTAACTGCAAAATGCTCCCCCTTTTTTAATGAATTTCAGGCATGAGCACAACCGCCGAGGTGATCACAGCCAGACACCTGGGCTTGAGGGTGTTGGGGCTTTCCCTGGTCGTCGATTTGGCGCCAGTGGGGCAGGCGGACGACGCCGTAGGGCCAACCCACGAGGAGGTCCTCAGTGTGGCCAACTCAAGATCACTTGTGGTCGCGAAACTAATCGAGGCGGTGCTCAGACGGATCACGGTGTGACGCCGAGGCCCCTCTCTCTACTTGTGTTGATTTTGACCGAAACTGGGTGTTTTTCCATGTCCATTTATTCAATACCTTTCCTTTAGCCGTTAGAATTGAGTCTTGCGATAACTTGTTTTTGTTTTAACCGGTTAATGAAGAGAATATAACGCTGAGGATGAGTCTGCGTGATTTGAATTTTTCGTTAAACGAATCGCCTGTGGCGACCACGATTCAAGCGATTTACTTGAATGCACTCCATGTAGCCAAGTTCGTTCAGAGGGCGAGATTAACAGATCCTACACGAACTGACGACATTTCCCGTGTCAACAAATCACTTGAAATAAGCGTTAAGTGCAGTCTTCTGTCTCACTCGTTCGGACTCGGTCAGCGTATGTCGTTCGGCTCGGTGTGGCTCCAAAAGCGCCATCTCCATTCATTTAAAACCCCAAGGCATGGCGTCAGAGTGCACGAAAACACGTCAAAAAACACCAAAACGAACGTTTATTTTACCGAGGCAAACGCATGGACATTGGCACCTCAGTGAACGGTTTTTTCATGTGACAATAAGGCTATCTAGAGAGATAGTAGATTGATAAGCAAGCACTGAATTATTTATCACAAAGTTTGTGTATACTAATAACGCCAGTGTCCAATTTGGTTTACATTGCCTTGCAGTCCACTTCACCATAAAGTGCAAGAGTTAATCAAATCGCCTTAGTCACTAAGTGAAATGGTCGAAAATATCAAATTCAACTGTGGTAGATTTAAAAAAAGTTATCCTGACAATCGTCATCATACGCTTACGGAAGGATTAAGAAATGCTTTATCAGAGAAATCACGGCGATAGATATTTATGCTGATTTAGTTTCTAAGTTCATCTTTTCTTAATTAAATTCTGTCTAGTATTAAAATATCGGTTGAAATATTCCTTGTTTCCTTTATTACCCATGGGACATTTCGAAGTCAGCGGACTAAAAATAGCAAAATTGGGGAGCAACTAAATTTTAAATGATAAAACTTCAGCAACTACTCAATTTTGATCCCCGATAATAGAGAAAATTGTGATAAAACCGAACAACCAGGCAGACAATGGCGAATTTTCATCACAAGATTATTGGGCCAATCAGCGCGCAGCTCGACAAACAGGGTGGATGACCTTGAGTTTATGGCGAGGAAATCGATCGACAACAGGACCGCATGCGCTTGGACTTAGTCTACACATGTCGCGACTCCACGCCTGATTGGCCTTCGAGCCCCGGTCAAGGTCATAACGCCCATTTTCGTTTGTGGAATAAAATTCCGTCATTTCAAATATTTCTGTTCTACAGAACCACCGTAAAGTAATACTCACGCAAAAGTAAGTGTAAATGTAGTGAAAATAAAAACACAAATCCACGTAATACAGTGTCTCCATGTGAGAATTGAAATATTTGATTTTCGGCTTATTGGAGATAAACGTGTATCCCGTTTTTGTAGTTACAACAAAGTTTTATTAAAGGTAGCTAGGAGTTGTAAAAAACTACCCTGAGGGCTTTGTGGTACAGGCCTCAGTTTCTTGAAACGTGTTGTCAAATCCATTAACGAAATCGTCTTAATCTAGCATTAGCCGCGCGTCGTGTGCTTTTTGTGCGGACTCGAACAAATCGATAATTCAAATTACCCAATCGCCTGCTAAACACGGCTTGACGTGTCCCAAATCGCGCAAACAAGGCACGAGTTAGCACGCCCACCCTAGACTGTTGCATAACCTGTTACCGCGATGCTCGGACACCTACCAGCCGCCGTCTTCTTATTGTTAGCGACTGGCACGGAGGCGTTTTGGGTGAAGGCGCCCACACAGGCCGACTGCGAGCCCACAATTAGGCTCTACGAGCGACTTTACCTAGTAAGCGGGCCGCCTGTCTACGCACGATAACTGTAGGAGTACTATCTGAGGTGTGTGGCATTGTTTTGTTGTTTTATTTTACAGCGCCACAACACTTTCGTGTGCTGCAATTTTCCGCACTTTTGCACCTGGAGCCACGCCTCCGGTTCGGGCGGGAATCGCGGCGAGGCGCTGAGGAACGCCATGTGGAAGGCCGAGGCAGGCCACCTCTGTCGTCTGCTGGCTGCCTGCACCTTCATCGAGAAGCCCCTCTGAGAACATGCTCTCGTCAAAAAAATTTTAATGTCCCTATTGAAGCTGATCAAGGCAATCTGTGATTGGTTTAAGCAAATATAATCTCGCTAGTTTTAAACCTCTAGAATCTTGAAAACGCTGCAAGTTTTTGGGATGGTGGAGTGGGTGAGAAGAGTGAGAAAAATTCGCCTTTAGAAGCACCAAAACCACACAAAATTAGGTGTAAATTAGGCAATGGAAATTCCAGCTAGAGGTAGAGAGGTCAACTCACCATGTCCGTGTTTGCCCTATTTTACTGGTTTGTTTCCCCAAGACTGTTCTCTTATGGGAAGAATGGAACATCACCCTCTGTGCCTATTGGACACATGTAACAAATGCCCGCTGTGTCCATGCTCATCTAATGGCTATCACCGTGGTAACGTGATTCCCATTGAAATTTACAGTCACTCCAGCCATTGCAGTATCCACATTTAAGTATTGTTTTATCATTAACCTGCGCTGTGTTTTAGCAGTGCTAAAACGTTAAAAACGCACGAAACTTTGCAGGTAGGAGCCGATTGGTCGAGAATGAGCCTAGACTCCAGTGTGCAGGTGGGTTGTGATTGGTCTAAGGTTACCCGCAGAAAACATTGTATTCAGGCGCCGCGATAATTCAGAATTTACCATGTCCCTTACCTGATTTATGGTTTGCAATTATGAACCAGCATAATGACAGACTCATTCATGGAATTGGTTGATAACTGCCACCATGCCACATTAAATTTCGGCGATTTTCATTAACTACGTCCAAATTAAGTGACTGTGTGGTTAGAAAGGCAACAAATTGACTTTTGTGAGTCGAAAATTGCCAGAAATACAGGCGAAATTACAAAAAATAATCGACGATTGCACTTCCAAGGCAGGTCCATAAGGTCATGCTTTGAGACCAAAATCATCAAATGGTTATAAGTCCAGAAAGATGTACAACCCTGGTTGTTCCCGGAATTCACCTGTTTGGGGACAGAAATGAAACAGGTTGCTATGGCGATCAGCACACCCACAGGAGCGGGAACCAAGATTGTTCGAGTGGTCGTGAATTCGACCGATTATTACAGGCAGTTTTGGGAACAAGGTGTATGCGCCAATACGTGCTCTGGCGTCCTGGTACAAGAAAAGACACAACGCTCACAGACTTCATTACGCGGCTAACGTAGAACCACGCGTCCCAGTGTGGGTTATTATCCCCTGTTGTGAATCGGGTCCCCCTTTTGGCAGCATGTCACCAGCCGCGCGGATCCTCAACTCCCCTCTCATTCGCACGAACACTTTTCCTGGATTATCCTCACACCTAGGTCTCGATGTAAGCTGATCTATGACTCGCGCATCTGAAGCATGTGACGACCAGCAAGCCGGCACGGTTTCCATGCTTGAGCGAGCACAAATCAATCGATTTCCACCGTGAATGCACTGCAGTGGTCAGTCAGCCACCGCGCGCGAGTGCTGCGTGTATGCTTGCCCGACTGTATCGATGACTCACCCTCTTTCTTATTGATTTTTTGTTAGCAGTCGCTTGCAACGCACGCGCATCGACGCGCACACAAAATTTACCTACTATCGATTTAACTCGACTCGACTTGACTGGCGTGACGCGAATAAACGGTCGTGTTCCCTTTCGACTCTGCCATCTCTTTTGTCGGGTTGTGACCGGCTGTTATCTATAGGGTTTTGTGGTGTGATAATTTAGGCCTCTACAGGTGTAAATACACACGACACCAACGTGGTTGAGCTCTGAAGTAAACGGTTGTGTCCACGTCCTCTCCGGTCTTTTTCTTCATCGCGGGTATCAGGGAAGCGTAATCGGGCCAGAGTTAATTCAGTGGCCCCGGCGTGGTTCAAGACCACATGCTGGGGCCCACAACAATTGGTAACCCCGACGTGATGAAAGGTTCTTCAAATTCCACAACACCTCTAGCGATCAATCCAAGGTCGGGTTGGAACGCAATAAAGTCGTTTTTAGACAAAAGCTCAGGGACACCAATCACCAGCGCTTGGTTTTCATTGATATGTCGTGGATTGTGATGGTTCACGTCCAATAACCCAGTTGTCTCAGCTTCCAACACACATCCCCCCTTTTCTCGGTGTGCCCTTCAGTCACATGAGGCCGCTGGTTTATTAACTCCCCTCCATGTACCACCACCCGCTTTGGTCATGTGACCTCACAGACGCCTGTGTGCATTTTTTACATGTCCACTCAACTGTAAAAGTAAACACGGACACAACTTCGTCGAGCTGTCGAGTAAAAGGTCGTGTCTGTCATCTCCAGACGTATTTTGTGCCTAGGTTACTTCGTGCGGTAAAGGGCCACAACAGATACCAGCGAGAATGCCGTAGTAACTTGCTTTCCCGGAACGTGACTACGCGTGGGCTACTGTGGCGTTTGAGTTTCGAAGGTTAGCTGGGCTGGCACTCGGCAACGTTTCTTACTTTGTGGACCTATTCGGATAGGCTTTGGATCCGGACTGCAAATAGGAGTAGTGGGCTGCAATTGGCGTAAATTTCGAGGTACCTGTGGATTCCGGAAGCCACATTTCCGGTTTCAGATATTTGCACAAAAGACTTAGTTTACGATAGACGCCCAGCTAGTGGATGTGTGTACTTTAACAAGTTCCGCGTAACTGTCTGCTTGCAGTTCGAATGTGAATGAACGTAGCCATGCTTCAACCCAATTAAACACTGTCTTTTGAACCCCACGAAGGCTCTCAAGCAATCACTTGTGCAAAACTGTGTTTTAGTTTCAAAATAAACTAATTCTGGGCCATTACCGGGATGTACGAACTCATGTATTCTCTTATCCTGGTCTTTAATAAACATTCACCATCTTGAACACAGACCTGTAGTGGCTAGAGTTGTGGCACTACCTTACAACCCTCTAGTTAGCAGCCCGTAACAACCCGAGAATGGAGTGGAACAAGAGGCGACAGAGGGCTCGATTGTTTATTGGCGTCACGCCAGCCAAGTGGATGAGTGAACAGATGACAAGCGCCTGATAAGAGTAATCAATGAAAAAGGGAATGAGTCATTGTCACCGACAGGTCAGTAAACAGGGTTCACTCAGGCGCGATCGCGGTCAATCCGCTCACAAACGAAGGGGCCTTCCGCGAAGTGAACTTCATACGACCCTTTCGTCTCGTTTCAAAGCCAAGACTAAGAATGTTGATTCGTCGGTCAAATTACGCAGTGGATGAGAGACAGTCAACCGTAACAGAGCATTTTCCCTGACAGATTCCACAGCTGGATGAGGAATACGGTCACATGGATGCAGTGATTTCATTTAATGTCTCACAAGTGGAGAGCATTGGGCCGACTACCACCCAGGCTGTAGTGAAACTTGTTGATTCATGTCCAATAACCCGGTCGTCGCAGCCTCTCACACACACACACGTGCTCCCCACCCACGGCAAGTGCCTCAGTCACGCGGGTCCGTCGGTTCTCTCACCCCTCTGCACGCACCACCACCACCACCCGCTTTATCCACGTGACAATTCAGACGACGGCAGTTTTAGCAGTCCTCGGAACTGCATAATTAGCGAAACACGTGAGTTATGCACTGCCTTTGATGCACACAAACAGCACAACTTGGTTGCACATTTATTGGCTTGTGGTCTAAGCACTACCTTACAACCCTCTAGTTAACAGACCGCAACAACCCGAGAATGGAGTGGAAAAAGAGGCGACAAAGGACACAACCGTATATTAGCGTCACGCCAGCCAAGTGACTGTCTTAGTGTGTGGATGAGTGAACGGATGACAGGCATCTGATACAGTAACCAATGAAAAAGAGGATGAGTCATTGTCACTGTCGGGTCGGTAACCAGGGCTCACTCAGGCGCGATCGCTGTTAATCCGCAACATGCTGTCTAGTAGAAGGTCTCGCCTCGTCCTCTGCGGTTTTCTTCATCTTCACGGGTCCCCAGAGCAGCGTGATCGGCCTAGATGCGACGCAGTGGCCCCGGTGTGGTTTAACCATCCCTAGCCGGGATCGCAGCCTCACTGACTACCTATGTTTACAGACTTACAGCAGGGTGGGTAAATTGCCATGCTACCTTCGGCATTTCGACTGTTCACTCCCTTCTGGAACAACATTTACTGCTGCCACAGTTGATATTTCCGCTACGACCACCAATATTAACACCTCTACTAATACCACTGCTATCACAAATATTCCCTCTAGCATCATCATTAGTACTGCGGCTACTACTGCCACTACCACTACTACGACAATCACAATACTGTCACTACCGCCACTACTATTACGCTATTGATACTACCACCATCATTACTAATAATGCTACTGCTACAATTCCTAATACAACCGACGCCACTAATAACACTGCCGCTACCACAATAGTGGTAATACTAATACCATCACTACTACTGTCACTACCACTACCACGGCAATCACCCTACTATCACTACCGCCACTACTACTGCTGCTATTGCAGCCACTGCCGTTACCATAAATCCTGCTAATCCTAATGTCACTAATACTACTGCTACCATAATTAATTGTGTTGCTACCACTGCACTACCCTAAATAAAACTACGAGTGGTGGCGGTGGTAACGAAGAATGTCCGTTGAATGAAACGGCATGACGAGCTCACCAGCAAAAGCAAAGAAGACTGGTGTGTGTGCGTGTGGGCGTGTAAATTATTACGAAATAGATCAGGAAGAAAACAGAACAAAATATCGAATTCTTGATTGGAGAGAGTGGGTTCCACCTATCAGGAGGCTGTTGAAAAGTCGGGACGTAGAAAAAGGGGAGAGGAGGAGGAGGAGGCGATGGATGGGGCGGGTATAAATCTAGGCGGTGTTGGTGGCGGTGGGAGGCGGCGACGAATCCCGGAGGGCGGTCAGTGGGGCGGCGGCCCGTCGGGAGCGTCGATTGGCTGTGCGGTGGACGCGACGGACCACGCCAGGAGGTGGCTCTGCGACTTGGCCACGAGCTTCTCCCGCTCGTCCGAGCCCGCTGCAACACCAAATGTACAAACATCCGTAACATCTGCTACCGTGGATTTTGCCAGTGTTGTGAATCGCGCAGATTCACACTCCTTAACCTGTCGCTTCATCTTCCGACACACAATGACACCGCTTTTTCGCAGCATGACGATGCTTATCCACTGTGTGTCAGACATCTTAGCTATAAATACACATGGGCAAACGCCACAGCCACGACAAGATTGTCCCCACCATCTCCAGTATTTTTCATCTTCGGGCTAAAATTAACGATTGCTGACCAACACGACTTTGTTGAGGTTTCTAGTGAACGGTTGTCTCGCTGTCCCTCTGCTGTCTCGATTGTCGGGTTCTATCGTGCTGCTGGACGTGCTTAAAACCAACGTAGCTGTTACCAAGGCCACCGCACGTGTTAGAGATACATTTCAACCATTTACCTAAAGTGCTGCTTTTTCGATTGAGGAAGAATCGGGGGGGGGGAGGGGATTTCTACCGCGATCCCTGGAAAGAGTCGACGCCGTGTCGGAAGGCCCATTCTCATAAAAGTCTGCGGTTATACAGCACCTCTGGTCAGTGACATTTGAACCGATACGCACGTTGCTAATGCTCTAGAATTGACTTCCACGATAATTAGACAACACTATTCCTGCATGAACTTTAAACGTTCAACTTAAAAGTCAACCGATGCCAAAATTCGCGAGTTCTGATCGGAGCGTTGGATGCTTGAAATGCGCCAACGCGAATCGACGTGACGCATAGCGTGCACAAACGGACCAATCAGCAGTGGTTACATCAGATTTGGGAAAATCCATAAATTGGTTCAGCGCTTACAGGAATCTCGATATTCCACGAAGCCAACACCTCCGCTGACCATAAGGAATCGGCTGTTAGACGCGGCTGCCGAGGTGGCGGACGAAGAGGGGCTGGTTTTCGTGGGATTCACGGGGGTGCTGGAGGCGAGGCGGGTGTGCGCCAATGATGATGACGACGATGTTGTCGCGCCTGGACCAGAGACGAGTGCGAAAAAGTTCACAGCCTCGGCGTGTCCGTACACACTCACCTGAGCAATGTGTACAGAGATGCGTGCAGTTATGTCCACAAAATTCATTTAAATAAACCGACTACTTATTACTAGTTAGTAACACTTATGCTTCAAAGCTTAAAACGTACCGAAATGCCAGACAAATCCACTTGAGCGGTGCGGTTTGTAGGAGAAAAGTGTTCGAAACTATCTAAAATGACCAAGACAAATAACAGTAATATAACCAGGTTGATAATATTAAATTGGGAGAAAGAGGGGGAGACGAGACCTCTGGAGGCACGTCGGATGGGTGTCGATTGGGGGGAGGTATTGGCACAACCCAGCCGCGACTCCTTCTTTTGCTTGAACGGTGCACAAGCCACGTGACCGCCTTTAGTCCCCACCCAAAGATGATCCGGCGACGCGCCCAGGGCCGTCACGGACGCCGACACCGCTAGCTGGCGCGATCCAGGGACACCTTGAAGGCAAGCAAAACAGCCATGCTACTTAAATGGATATCAGTAGAGCAGAATAAGTAGGACAACGCACCAAGCGTCTCGAGGATGACGTGGGCCATGTCGAGCTCCTGCATGGGCTCGTAGGTGAACGCGTTGTACAGACGCACCACCGGCTCCGTCCTCAAGGACACCCAGACGCCGTCGCGAATCCACGACATGCACTTGACGCTGGAGCCCATGCTAGACGCGACGTCGATCCTGCAGATGAGAAACATGGGTGGCGTGAGGCACTCAACGTCGCCTCACTCCCTTCCCGGGTTGTTAACCAGAGGGTTATAAGACCCCACAAGCCACTACATTTGGTGGAAACGGGAAGTGGTGCGCTGCCTAGATGATAGCTCATCTAATCTTAGTGGATGGTTCGATTTTCCGCTCCGTGGGTGAGACACTCGTGGATGTTATCGGCCATTTCTGAAATGCTGCTTTCCGAACAGAGGTTTACGGCAATAGGGTCACTCATTGTTGACAGAGAAGAGAGTTGTGTAAAATTGGACGGAGATCGCCAACCAACGGAGTCAAAAATAAGGTGGTTTCGCCACGTTGGGGTCACGAAATGTGGTTGCTTGTGGTCTAAGCACTACCTTACACGAGAATGCAGTGGAACAAGAGGCGACAGAGGACACAATCGTTTACTATTAGAATGACAGTAACCAATGAGAGAGGGGATGAGTCATTGTCACCGTCAGATCGGTAACCAGGGTGAACTCAGGCGCGATCGCTATTAGCCCGCTGCAAACCGACTAGCACACCCGTGAACAACCGCGATATAAAGACATACATGTGTCGGGCATACCACACCTGCCAACGCCCAAGTCGTCCACGGGTTCGGACTGAGCGATAACACTGAATGAGACCATTTAGCGTCCGAACGCTGATAACTCAGGAGCACTCAGTGGCTTGCTTGGCTGTCGTTTTGCTAGCCAGGCAGGTTAAACAAGACGCGCCACGCCTCACACCAGTTTCGCAACAGCACGTGGCCAAAGGAGAAGACACGAGGTCGCTTTGAATGCCACCTGCCGACGCTCGCCCCCGCCAACATCAATTGTTCCCGCGCCTCGACGTGGTTAGTGCCTTTGCAATGCACACCGCTCAAAGGCGTGGGGGGGGGGCTCAACAGATAGCCACTAATTTATTACAAATAACTCGTGGATTTTTTTAGGTATCGCACGGTGAAACTTCACGGCGCATCGTGCTACACGCGCCTTCTGGAGGGTCGAGCATTTGATCAGGGAAAGATAACTTGCTAACTTGCCAGAATGGTTAATCAACGTTCACCGGAGCATTCACAATTCAATTGATGCGCTGAATTGTCCTGTTTAGAGAGCTGGCCATTCAACTACAATTAGTCGATTTGATGCCACAAAATCAATTTTAACGGCCGATTTCGATGGCTAACGGGTGGAATCGTCAACTTCGAACAACTGACAACGGCATGGACACATATCCGAAGACTTGCTAAGTCAAATCCCACTAACTGGCCCCTTTAGTAGGATGCGGAGTAAGAAGAGAGGTGACCTACGTAAAGAGCCTCTGAAAGTTGGTGGTGTCGATGACGAGGATGCGGTTTTTGCACGCAGCCCAGAGGGTGAGCGCGGACGGCACCACGACGAGCGCCTTCACGCCGAACTGGGTGGTCGGACCGCAGCGGATGACCACGGCCTCGGAGAGGTCCCAGTTGCCACCGCCTGCGTCCGCGGCGCTGAGTTCCTCCTCAATCGATAGCTGGTTGCGCCGGCAGTCGCCTTGGGTGGAGGTCACGGCGAGGACCTGGGAGGCCTCGCACGACGAGCCACCGTCGTCGTCGTCGGGACATGCGGTGGCGGAGGCGAGCAGACTGGAGTGCGTCGGTGTGGCCGACCGACGAGGTGACGTCTGACGGCGAAACACAACAATGTGCCCATTCGCCAGACCCACAAACACACGACCAGAGAAGTGCCTGTGCAATGCAGATATGAATTGACACACACACACACACACACACACACACACAAAACACAGCAGTCTCGATAGAAACCACAGGTGCTTGAGTAAATTGTGTCGGGAAGGTGAGAGGAAAGACAATGCGTGCGTAAATGTGCTGCACACGCCGAAGTTTGTGATTGGTGGCTTCGATCGATTTTCAAGTCACCACTGATTCGTGAATCAGTTTTACCAATATCGATTAAATCGAAGGCATCGTGTTGTCGAGAAATACAATCAGCAGTAAGCACAGCACTAGTTTAAATGGGGCCATTGTAGCATCTGTCATGCCAATTACGCATAATGCTTTGTTTTGCTACATAGGTTTTGGCAGATCACTGATCAAATTACCCACAGGCAGCAAGTGTCCATATTTTTTTTGATCAATTTACTGTTTACTCAATTTTGCCGCAGTTTTTGTTGCAAAGGGCAACTCGAAAGTGTCGTTTAACGTAGCTGAATTGTCTTTTTTGCTTTTTTCCTAATTCGGCGAGTCTGTCAGTGTTAGCGCTTGAGCCGCTACTGTTATTTACAAGCTCCCTTATACGCAATATGAAGAGGTATTTTCCTCTGGAACGAAGCACACACACACACAAGCTAGACTTCACTAACGCCTCTAACAGTACTGCTGTTCTCAAGCCATCGACCTTGGCGTGTCAATCTTCGCATGGGAATTAAAGTTGCGCAAACAGGTGGCACCAGCAGCGAGTTTGCCGTTTGCCGCTGACTTGGAGGTGATGTTTTGCGGTCGATTTTGCGTGGAGAGGATGCGTGCGTGCGTGCGCTTGGCAATTACGTCCCCGTCGTTAGCGCCCAGTGTTGTCAAGAGGACTGCTTTTTCACGACAAAAAAAACTAACCTGGTGGATGACTTGGCTAAGGGGAATTGCGACAAAATGGCTCACTCAAGCTGTTTGTCCGCAGGCATGACCTTTGGCGTTTGGAAGCTGCACGCAGTCACAATTGTGCACGACATGTTGCCAAGTACGCCGAGTGGACGCAAAACGAAGCAACAAACCTCGTAAACAGACCAACTGGGATTCGCGAGTCGACTATGGACGACAAGACTTCCACAAGTGCTTCAAACTTCGGTCTGAGCAGGAAACACGTGGAAGGGATCGTTGTCCGTGAGACATCAACCGAGAATACGCACAATCTCCTCATCCCTACCGCTGTCACGTGACAAACCCCGTGAAATGCAAACCAGTTATTGAAACTTGCACAAACGCACAAAAGTGGTAAAGCTACTCTCACAACCAGCACAAACCTCGGGTCCAAGGGGAGAGCCTCGCTCTGAAACCAAATGGCACAAACACGCACAACAAAGTAAGACACGAGTGACAGGCCTCGCGCCACATGTCCCCAGCACAGAGACACAATTCGCTCTGCTTACCGAATGGCGCTGATGGCGCTGGGAAGTCGAGTGGTCTGTAGGGCCACTTGCTGCGCGGTCACACCGCTGTGGAGGTATATGTCGCCGTTTTGACACCCCAACCAAATCGTCTGCTGGGCAGTGAACATCGATGCCGTCGTTCCAACAGTCGTTGGTTCCACAGGATCTACGCAAGGCAAGAGAAAGTAACCGAGGGCCATACCAAGAGTCGCATCAGCGTTTGATAAGTCAGTTAAAGCTGAGCACGCTACGCCCAATCGTGGAATGTTTAAGGACTAGCACAGGATGCTTCCATTTTGGACCTAGCCAAGAACTCGGAAGACACCTTCTAGTGTACATCAATGCAGCGAGGGGCGGACCAATCAGGATTACCCTCATTGGGGGCTGCGGATGCGGTCTTGGTGAATCGTTGCCGCTCAACCCGGTAGAAATCCTTGTTTCTGCCGTCTGACGAGGACCGAGGGATGTCGGGGTCGAAGGCGGAGTCCCTCTGGGGTTGGAGACTGGCGAGTTTGTCCGCCTCCGCGCAGCCATCGACAACGCGTTCGTCGGGTTGACTGGTAGAGAAGTAGCGAAGCGACGAGAGTGAATTGTCCGTCCGGAAACTCGATTGGTGCTCCTCGTCCTCGGAGCAGGCAGGAGGGGGTGTGGTGGGCCGAAGGGGCTCGGACAGGGCCTCACTGCGGGAGGTGCCACCGGCCTCCTTGGTGAATGGGATGGCGTCCCAAGTGGCGCTGGCCAGACGCAATACGTCGTAGTCGCGTTTTGCGGCACCTCCAGTTAGGCGCGAAGGGGCGAAAAAGAAATATGGGGGTTTTTTAAAGGATTTAATCACACACCGACCAAAAAATGTGGCCTAGAGTGCAACGAGGTGACAAGAGGGCGTAGTGACTGGCACGGGATTAGTCGAGTGGTGGCCGCATTCGGACACGAAAACAACCAACTGCGAACTCGTCGTTCTTGCCGAAAATAAGCCGCTACACAGGCCGAGGTCATGATGAAGTGTATGGCTTAAATTGTGCAGATTTTTCAGCAAATCTATGCACTACGAAAAAGTAGAGAACAACGAACTTAACCTTACAGACATTGTCCACCGTGTCCCATGACCTTGCGCCATCTCTCACTAAATGTACGAATGCGGTCAGCGAATTTACGCACACTGTCCGGCGTTTTGAGCTGTTTATCGACTGCATCGGCCTCGGCGAATGGCAGTCGGATGGGGCCAAGTCTAGTGAATATGCCGTTCAAGAGGGTCTGATGAGTCGTAACGCTAGCAACGTGAGGTGATCGCGCGTTGCCATGCAGCAGCAGTACGACTTGCCTGCTTCCTTGTCCGGTAAATGGCCTTTTCTGATCACATTTTTCCCCACTTTGTTCAATTGTCGACTGTGGTGTTTTACAGTCGTCGTCTGACGACCAATTTGAACGAGTTCGTAAGAAAGCAAACCCTCCATATCCCCCCATCAGATGCACAGGTGAACCTTCTGCAAGCGGATGTCCTGTTTCCGTGTCAATGTACTGGGTTGCTGGGAATCTACCCACGACTTTTTACGTTTGGGATTCGCTTAAAAATCCACATTTTGTCACCCCTCCCGCAATTTATGCAATAAGTCCTTTTTTGTTCCCTGCGGTCATTCGTTGACCCTGGTTGTGTCCCGTCAACTAAGGTTGGGGGGCAGGCACAACTTCCAAGTTTAAATTTTTCCCATTGGGTGGAACAAACGCTTGGAAGTAGTTGTTTGGATGACTCGTCACTGAACTACAAGCTCGTGTTGCGTTCGCACTGAGTCTTCATCCAGTAGAGCTTGCAATTCCACATCTTCACACTTTCGAGGCCGCAGTCCGGGACGCGGCTGGACACAAAGGTCGAAATTGCACTTCTGAAGCGTTTGTACCAATAACTTCAAGTTCCGGAGGACACAACATTGGCGCCTAGAACACTGCAAATTGACTCCTGTGCTTCAGAAGTATTTTCTCCTTGTTGGAATTTGCATAAAATGCAGTGCCATCGAATGTGCTGTTGGTCAGTCGCCTTAGTAAACTCTCGCAGAGTTGTCGTTCGGTGTTCTCAAAACCTTGCACCCAACCCTTCGAAGCCACGAGAGACCGCAAAAGTATTTCAATTTTAAGCTCGGAGATAGGATCTGTACAGATTAAGTCATAAATGTGGTGTTATTAAGCACCTGCCTGACTAATCGAGGTTTTTGAATAAACACCAGGCAAAAATTGCAAGGGGGGAAACCAATCACGGGGTTGGTGGTTGGACGCCCGGGCAGAATTAGCGCTAATGCGGCAAAATCGGTTACAGAGCCACCGGTGGAGGGAGGGGGGCAAGGGGGAGTGAATATTTGGGTCAGGATTAATGTCGATGCAGACATGCAAGTCCTAAGGTGCGACCTACCTGGTGTGAAACCTTAAAAAAAAGTTAAATTGATCAAACAGCGGTCAGTGGTGGTTGGGAGGAGGGAGCAACAGATTGCGTCATAGTTCTGTGTTATGAGGAAACACAAACAATCAAGGATGCGCATTTGCCGTCTAGAGATGGCCTACCTGGTACAGCTGCCATACACGTCACCACGGAGCGCAGGAGGCTGAAGGACTTGATGTAGCGCGAGGGGACGTTGGCGTCGACAACGACGACTTGGCTGTGGAACACGGGTTTGGGCTCGGAATGCGTCGAGGAATCCGCCGAGGCTTGTTCGGCCAGAGGCGTCCAGTCGACGGCCGCGTCAACCACGCCCGTCAGGCACACCCACAACTCGCTGGAGAGGCTGAACGCCTAGGTGGAATTATGCAACGAGGGTTTCGTCAAAACCGCCTCAGTGAATAAGCCTGAGTCAGTGACTGGTGAGAGCGGAGGCGATTAAGACCTCGAAAATTATTAGTTTGGAGTGGGGAACTGGAGTAACTTCGATCTCAACCAAACGGCTACGGTGTTTCAGGAACTTTAAGAACTGAAGGGATGGCACCTACACTCAATCAAAGATCATTGGATACCGCAAGAAGGCGCACCTAGTGATAGTCAACAGACGGACGATAAGGACGGGGCGAAAGTATTGGCTTCGGGACTGACAAACCTTGCTACTAACACATGACCTTCAAGGGAGCTGCAAAAACCTGTGACAAATGTAGTGTCAGGTGACGTGGAAGACGTTTTTTGATAAACTAGCGGGTTTCTAAATACCACTAACAAGAAGGAGGTATTGGAAGCGTACAGGCAATCACGTCACAACATGCCATTATGCGGGTTAATTGATTAAACTGAGCAATACCATTGGTTACAGTATGGACCGAAAATTATGCAGAGTGAGTTCGTATTCTCACATAATCGAAGTTTTCCAGCACCGAGACGCTGGGAAGAGTATTTACCCGAACACGAACTATTTGCTTTTCAGAGACAACTGAGACCAAGAATAAACTCTTTTGCGCTAATGAACCAACCTACACGCGGAGACCATATACGATGAGTTGATGCACAAGCTCTCTTCACTATGCTTAGCGGAATGCTGTGTTTGGAAGGCAAATTCTTTACAGGAATGTTGTCATGGTTTAGCGTTTCTTTACGCCTGTTGCAAAACGGCGTGTTCTTCTCCGTTCAATAGCGGAGCCGCAGTCATGGCCACGGAGAAGACTTCATTACGAAGCTGGCAGCACAGAAATGGTTCACCAGGTTTCGGAGAAGCCGGAATCCCCCAAGACGATTCACTGTCCGCACACGCCACTCTAGTTGGTAACTCAGCAGCGACACCCCACAGACGGCTGCAGCTGTGTCAATTCACCCAGCTACACAGGGTCAAGGTCATTGGCTGAGATGAGCTTGATTTGGACAGGTGAGGCTGCGTTCTGGCTACCTGAGTGTGCGATTCTGGTTGCAGTCAAAAAGGTAACCACGACGTGCTCCGTTCTGACAAGGTGAACAGCTTCGAAATCAACTACTTTAATAAGCTTTCGACAGGTCATTGGCTGAGACGGAGCTTGATTTGGACAGGTGAGGCTGTGTTCTGGTTACCTGAATTTGTGATTCTGATTGCAGGCAAAAGGGTAACCACGACGTGCTCCGTTCCGACAAGGTGAACAGCTTCGAAGTAGGAGATTGAGACTTAGCCACACAGGTGAGTCAGCTGAGCAAAGCAATTGCCTTCACAAGACCACTTCTAACCGTTTCTGACTGATGAACACGAATAGACGCATTACTCAACATCGGACCTTTGGCCTTTTTTGGTGGTCCCCCATCATCCATAATACCACTTAATTTATGTAGCAAGATCAACCGAAATGAACAAGTTTTGAATGGAATTTGACGAAAAACCACGCGAAAATTGGTCGAGCAAATAGGATTGTGACCATTGACAATTGAAGGGGTCTATTCACCACAAACGACCCAGTGAATAGGATGCTCAACAACGCCCTACCACGCTCTACACAATTCAAACAGACATCCACCTCCACGTAGGTCGAGTCCCACATTACGATCGGCATGCCTCGCTGGAGATTACAATAATTGACTAGGCAACGCCTCGATTAACAAGGAAAATTTGAGGCAAATCGGAATAAGCAAGCTAGTGGAACGGTCGCGAATAGCAACGGAGACCACAAACGCAACTATGCACAACCCAGCATAAATTTGACATTGTATCTTAACCCTTAGCCCGGTGCAATGTACCCATCGTTTTGTCAAAAACACCTAACATGAGTTTCGGTCTAGCCGGTAAATGGCCTGTGAAGTGGGAGTTAGTCAGGACACAAGTCAACTTGCCTCTACGGCATCTTGGTTTTCCGAGTTCTGAAAGACAAAGCCAAGGGGATTGGCGACATTTAGACGTTGAAGTGACAAGGTCAGGCAAGCGTCAGCTCAGGAACAGTGGAGCTTACCTCGGCGATGTCCGTGGAGGGATTCGAGGAGCTGTGAGAACTGGTTGCCTCGGGGTCAAAGAAGGCGCTCCGCCCGGCCAACAGTTCACCCGACGGACGAAAGCCCCCCATATCCACGTACACGCAGGTGGCCGAGTCGATCTGAACAAAAAACGGGGCTCAGAAAGTCGGCACTTTGGTCCAACCAGTGGCTCCGCCACACACGCCATTTCACGTGTCTCATTGGCTATCGAGGTCGTGATCGATAATGGCAAAACGAGGAACATATTTGGTAATTAAGGCTTGCCTAGGTGCCTTTCTGTGTGAAATTCTCCCAGTGGGGCTGCTTACCGGGAATCAAACGTGATGTGCATAGGTACACGAAAATCGCCACAGCTAACCATAAACACAGTGTAGGCGTGGCGATAGTCGCGTCTCCAAGCCAACCCTTACACCGTCAGCTGCAAATGCACTGATTCACGTGGTCGTTGGCTGAAGTGGCTCAGGTGGATTTAATTTTGGGCGTAATGGCACCCACACGACACACGGTAGATTGCATAGCGTGTGTGTGTGTGTGAGAGAATAGGGCTTTGTTATGAAATTTATTTGGTCTGTGAATACATTTCAGATCAACGAGCCGCGTTCAATTAACCAGGTAACTGTCAATCATGCGGGAGACGATTTTCACAGTGCCGTTAACTGTGGAGAAGCAGAGTTGATAGGGGTGCAGTGGGATCGTCGTCGGCAGACACCTTGGGACTGCTGAAAGCTGCAGTCAATTGGCAAATCGGTCTCTATTCACAAGCACCATTTGAATGCGCTCACCTCGCCTTCTGAGGTGCATCCCTGTTCAGGAGACTGGCCCTTTGAAGTGTCAAGGAACAATGGGGTTTAATGTAGCTCCCCACTGCTGTAAGGGGAGCACACAAGACGAGACAGTGGAGCCTACCCCCAAGGAAGCTAGTGGGCCAACCACAGACAAGTCTGCATGCGCTATTAAGCATCAGAGCAAATGACCACCAGCCAAACCAACAAACTCGATCACATTGGTGGGTGGTTTTCAAGACCGTAATTTCAGGCATTGAAGGGGCTTGGGCAAGAACTACCAGTGGGGATGGGTAAGAGCCGTGGCAGACCTACACCGCTGCATAAAAACAGAAACGAAAGTCTAAAAATACACGAGTTGTTTATACAGCCTGGCTGTCTGCGAAGCCAGGATCTCTCAACATCCTGCCAAGTCTCGCCCACGCCTGTGAGCGCTGTGAAATGCTTCTAAACACGAGTCTTCTCCAAAACACATCGAGGTGAGCTACGGGAATAATCGGTGTGAGAGGAGGAGGCGCCAAAGCGAATTGCCTCGAAAAGAAAACACCAACGACTTTGTGTCTTCCTGGTGCTCTTAGAGACTGTTTTGGTGTGTGTCATGGAACGCGACGTCGCCAAAATGTGCTACCGCGCAGGGTTTGCTAGCGATATCGGTAGCCCAAGAACTCTCAACGCCACGCAGCATTTCTGAGTCTGCCTTTGTGAGGGTTCAAGAGGTTGACATGGCTCAAATCCTCCTCGAGACGGCTGGTGCGTTGCACTGAAAGAGTCTCCACCGACTGTTCTAGTCTACTGATGTCCTGTTAAGTAGCATAACTCGGTGAATGAGCTGCCATCTGATCACACCACCGGGTGGACACAGAAGGAGGCACACCAGTCCACAAAAACAGGGTCCGAGACCGCATTTCAGCGACTTCGGCCGTGCATGGCGCAAAAAACACCAACCGTGTCTACGCTCGGGATCCATCGTCCCCAACATGCACTATATTAGTACGTGTAAGGTGTTGAGGCATATGCCTTTAAAGTACACGAAAGTTAACTTACTGACACCTTTTTCACCGCCATTAGCTGAATCTGTGAATCTGCCTACCTCATTCCACCAAATGACGCTTCTTTACAGCTTTGGCACGGTTGACCTGCTGCATTTTACCGCCTTGGACTATTACCAGGGCGTATTGGGTTACATGACCTACTGATTGAAATTAGCTTTTGTGGAAATTTAACCTGATTTTGCTTGGAAATTCAGGCAACAACTCGGAGTGGAATAGTTCTGTGAATTACACTGAACTGAGCACAAAATGTGGCATATATGAGGTTGCTATCTTCGTGTGTGCATAATAGACAAGAAAAAATGGGGCTGTAGAACGATCGGACTTTCAATAATCCAACATGAAACCACGCCACCGACCAACTCCACGGAAGCTCATGGAAGCGTTGTGTTTTTGTGGCGTAAATGAAGTGGTATATTGGACGAGAAGTGCTTGCCTGCATGCGACCAGATAGGGCCTCGGGGAAGGGGCGCCGATAGAGAGGCAGTGGCAGAGGTAGTCGCGTGGGAGATCGACTGGAGGGTGGGACGGCGGCAGCCGACGCCTTCCTCGTCGACGGAGGAGTGTTGCTGACACCGCTGCTTTGCATCACAACGGGCTGCGGGAGGCAGGGCTTCGCGGCGATCGGCACCGCGACCCACGCCCAGTTCGGCGGCACCGCAACTGCTTGGTCCCGTTTCTGGTGACTAAAAAGCGCACTCATTGGTCGAGTGACATGTCACACAGCTTCCCTTCACACAACCCACACTCAGAGCAGCGTTCCACATCAAAGTGGACTAGAAACGACCAAGAAGTGCCTGTGGAACTCAGATGGCCCAATCACGAGGCCGACCAAGAGCGAGAATAACCTACGCGGGGTCAACAGGGACCCCGGTGTCGAATGAGGCGTAGAGAAAGGAGAATGACAACTCACCTGCTGTTTTGGACAAATTCAAGGGACTTGACAATGTTCGAACGACTCCCGTCGACGTTCACCGTGACTCCAGAGGTGGAGGTGTCGAAAGAAACCGAAGAATGAGATCTTCGACTTGGCTTTCGAAAAAGACGAGAGAAGCTGCACAAAGCAATAAACAGGACTTATTATTGGCGCCAGAAACGTTCACTGCAACCACTGCGCGCGTAATCACGAGGTCAGGGAACTCACAAAACTAGGAATTTATTCGCGGACGAGGAGGCATTCGCATTGCCATTCTCGTGTTCTGAGAGATTAGAAGTTGCCCAGTTGAGCTCCTCGCGCAAGTCGCAAATGTCCTCCTGCAGTTGGTTGCGCTCCATCAGCACCTTGGCCATCTCCTCGCGAGTGAACCGAGTTCGCTTGGAGAAGGGAGTCTGGTTCTACACGCGGGGAATTACAAAGAAGGCGAATCTCGGCAAAACACCACTACTGTGATAACCTCTCGATGACATGAACTTATGCAAGGCCGCACAGTGAATGGCGTTGAATCACATCCATTAACCCGGTCGTTGCGGTCACCGACACAGCGTGTTCGTCAGTCATGAGGAACCGTCTGCCCAATCACGCTTTAACCATCTGACTACTCAGACGTTTGCACTAGGCTAGTTCAACCAGACTGTAGCAGTTATGCACTACCTGTAATACACGCACACGTCACAGCACAACATTCTTGAGCTAGCTAGTAAACGGTTGTGCCTCGCTCCTGTTGTGAATCGTGTTTATTCACACCCCTTAATCCGGTCGCTCCATCCTCCGACACAGGGTTCCCCTTTTGGCAGCACGTCGCCAGCCGCGCGGACCCTCAACTCCCCCCTCATTCGCATGAATATTTATCTTGGATTATCCTCACACATGGGTCTCGATGTTAGCGCATGTATGACTCACGCATCCGAGCACGCGCAAACCCCACACTCGACACAACGACACCCGCGTGGTTGAGCTCTGAAGTAAACGGTTGTGTCCACGTCCTCTCCGCTCTTTTTCTTCATCGCGGGCATCAGGGAAACGTAATCGGGCCAGGGTTAATTCCGTGGCCCCGGCGTGGTTTGAGACGACATGCCGGGGCCCTCAACAATTAGTGACCCCAACGTGACACCTTCAACAGCTGCTTACAACTTATGGTGCGGAAATTAGAGGCAGGCATAAGGCAAAATGGTGGCACCAAGTAGTTACCAGCCTGTCTACTGCCTACCACGATCACTGTAAACGAACAGTTCAAATGGTTTGAGCACAACGCAGACAAACGCACCATTTCCAATTCCTTCTGGGCGTTGAGCGCGTCGGTTAGTTCCTTGCGCAGTCGCGTGTTGTCGGCTTCCAGTTGGGTGATGTGCAACTGCATGCTTGAACGCGAAATCTGCATCTGACTGAGAGTCTCGTTTAGCTGCAGCTTCTCGCTTAACGGGTCGCGGGAGAGAGGAAAAAAAGGCCAATCGGCTATCAGTGTGCAAGGCAACAATTGTAAACTGACAGAAGGGATTTTAACGGCGACAAATGTCACAGCAGGATTTTCTTTCCAGAACTTTCCAATTTCTCCCTACCCATGAGTAATATATATCTGATGACAAGAAGGGTGGACGCGGAAATAGCAAACTGGAGGGTCTTCAAGTGGTAAAATGTCAAGCTCCAGGTTACCTGGTCTAGGTATTAAAACTACTGGATGTAGATTATTATGGCACAGACGTCCTTACCTATTCTGCTCCTCCAGTTTCGTCAGAAGGTCGTGAATAACGACGTTGAGAGCGTTCCTAAGGACACGGAAGAGGATGATTGGAGAGATACTGCTTCAACGAGACAGCACGTTATGCATCACCGAGGTCAACTCACTTGGTCTCCTCCAGTTCATTATTCTCCTTCACCAGTTTGCTCACTTCCTTGCTGACGTCTAAAACAGGAACGCAACGCAGTCTAAAAAGCGAGCGAAATGGACCTCGGCATAGTTTAGTGGGAAGCACATAGCGTGACACACATTTGTCGGTGATTCACAATCTGTGATGGACTTGGTTGTTTAATGGGGAAAGATGATTATTGCATTGACGTTTGATTGGTGAGGGTTAGCAAACTTCGAGTGACTGGCCCCCGCCGCAAACTATACCACGAAGTTGAGCATTAAATTCGGTGGTTTTAAGGATAAGTGTGCTAGGGGATTCGAAAAACGAGAGCAAAATTGGCTAATTTTAAGACCAAAGTTATGACATACTGAAGTCTGGCGCTAATTCTTTCTTTCCACAGGGGACGGGAGAGGAATCTAGAGGACGAGGGCAAAAAAAAGATAAGAGATTGAAATAATGAAACAGGAAAGGTGAGGGATTTGGGGGTCAGAACCTACCGCCCATCTCACCACTGTCACTTTTCTCCTCAGAGATGGACAATTCTTCATAGCGCTCGTCAGCTGATAGCCTAGATGACAACAAAAAAGAATAAAATTCGGACTACAATCTGAAGAAACAGCTTGTGTTCTAATGTTTCGTCCGATTGAGCATTTACTTTCATTACGTATGGATAATTATGCTGCTATTCACAAGGGATCGACAGTTTTATGCTTTCGATGCGAAAGCATGTTAAAGTGTTTAACAAGGGACAACTTTACAAGTAAAATTTGTTATTTTGCAGCTAGAAAATCCCTTGCGGTGGTGGTTACAATAGTATACACACCTTCATAAAGTGTAAAATTAGCATTTTTGGTTAATAAAATCGCCACCTACAAGGTTGTAGAATACACACTTATATATCCATAAAAAAGGGGCGAGAAAGCGTGTGCGAATGCTATTATCTGTAATATCGATCTCCAAACGACAGCCTAGTTTCTTGGGTTTGTGGTAGAGAAAATTCAATAAATAGGGAGATTTGGACAGGAAGTCAGGAATGTAAGGGTCTTCGTGAATAGGTATTTACCAAACAACACGTTCTGGTAACGGGCTTCTGCACTACGCACTTTAATAATGGACTCGCTATAAACAGTGGCAAACATCGCATAAAATAAATGAACGGGCTTGACGTAATGGAAAATTAATCTACACAGAAACTGGTGCAGCGACTCTACACGATCGCGACCAGAAAAGTAAACCTACTTTGAAAATGGTGATCCGTCAGCGTCTAGCGTCACATCCGGAAGGACTTCATTGGCATTTTCTAGCGCACGTTGGTGAACACCTTTAAGAAACAAAACCCTCATTGAGATCATTGGGCCAGTAGACAAAAGGTTCAATAAAAAATGCTCAGGTTTATATTTGTTTCAACGGAAACGAACGACAGAGCAACGTTAGCATCTGAAGAATTTAATGAGTGACGACACCAAATTTGCGTTTTCAACTAAAAGGAAAGCCAACAGAGCCTCAAAAACGCTATAAATTACTCGGAAACGTTTCATCCAGAAAGCTTCAAAATTTCGTTTACATAAGTATGCGTAAGATGAAGGAATCAAGTTCAAGAGTCATTTAAAAACACTTCTACCAGGACATTAATGACTAGAATTTACTCAGAGCCCAAAAATACTACTAACAAAATTCAAAATATACAAAATATAAACAATAATAAAATGAAAAAACTGCAGCGACGATAAATTACCCCAATCGTATGGGGAGTCGCCTTTGTGAGAAATAAACATCAGTGGATTACGAATGCCTGTTGTTGATGAACACGAAGCGACTACAGGGACTTGGGTTTTTAACTTTGACGACGAGGTTGGAACACTCGCGTCATCACTTGGTTCCTCGGCAGATATGCGGAGCCGCTCCATGAGATCAACATGGGCGCGGAAGAGATCGCCGTACCTCTGTCGAAGATTCGCGTATGTTGACTGGAGTTCTTTGTCGCGCTCTTCAAGTCTAAAAACTAGAACATGACTGCAGAGCAAGCGGATGACAAACTGTGGTCAGTTGCACTCTTCAGTTTCATTTCGAGGAGCTTTTTACTAGAAGCAGACGAGGATTTTAGGGCCTCAATTCTTTTCCGCTTATCGTGAAGTTCATCTTCAAGAGAAAACAATTGCTACTCAATAACGTAACAATATCAAAGCGAGTATTACTTCTTCCATATTCTTTAAATCTGCCCTTAAGCTCTCGTGTTTGGAGAGTAGAATAGTGTGGTGATCCTTTAGAACGTCCAATTCTGCAATTATTTTGTCTTTCTGCAAAGATACATCGTTCAGGGTTTCCAATAAGTTCGCAACAAGCGGAACAAGCGTTCGAAGCGGCTGTTCTCCATAGGATTTAAGGATTTTTTCAAACTCCGCATAGATGTCGAGAGTTAACTGGTGAATTTTGACGTCGCCATCGTTGCTGAAATGACTGCTCGCGATATCCGCTTCTGCAAAATTATGGCTTTCCGCCATCGTTGTCACGAAAACCAAAAACAATTTCCCCTGCTAGGTTAATTCCAATCCTGTATACAAACGCCAACAATACTAAATAGCCAAACACATCTTTTCAAGCAAGGCAGTTTTTACAGAGTCAACTAAAACATTTTGTAACCGAAATTAAAAAGATTTTCATTACATGAGAGAATGTGACGGGAAACAACCAGCGAAAAGGCGTGAAGAGTACGTATTACAAGTTTAAAAAGTACTTATTAAACTGTAGTTGTTTTCTTTAAAATATCACCAGATTTTGGTAATTTGCAAATCTCCGTTAGTACAAGCCCGTCTTACTTAAATCAGTACTGTGTTATGAACATCTGATTACTGGAGTTCTTGGTTTTTTGTAGGATTTCACTTAAGTAGCATGCATAATGTGCCAAATTAGTGTAAAGGAGTGATTCTTCAAGATGAACACAAAGAACAATAAAAGGGCAGATGTGATAAGTTGTCGTTTGTCTAGTAAGCTAGTTGATAATGTGGCGAGCACAGTTATCAATCATGAGCGAACGTAGTTAGCAAGCCTGGGCAAACACTATTTAAACGATTTTAGTGAATTCACTTCATGTAACACTGCTCGCTCAAGAATCGATGCCTAGCGAATTTATATTAACTTACTTTTTATTCTGTACACACACACACACACTCCGCTATTGCTTTAATAAATTAGTTGAGCTACGCGCCATCCGCATATTCTGTTCTTCTTTTGGTCGGGCCGTGTTAATGTAGATTTTCGGCCCTGGTGTGGTTTCTAAAACTTCACCGGGGCAAGCTACAACAATATCATATCGGTGTGCATGCGTTTATGTTCATTCATGTAAGTCACAGGTACCTTCAGGTGAAAAGTATTATCGTTTTCTATTACCTTATTGTATTAATGTGTTGGCAGAATGGTAGGCAACTCAGTTTTTAATTTAGAGGTATGAACCTGGAAAACATTTATCATACAAACATATTTCAACAGGAAAATTATCGGTAGTTCTCATCATCGCTATTTATACAGAATTGCTTAGACCTACGGTGAGTCACGCTAATTTACATTGATTGTCAATGTTGACTTAAAATCAGGGACCAAATATAATGTTACATGAACTCAGGATCGTTGTATCCAGTGAAAATATTCATAACGAAGTTATTATTATTGTTATACTGATTGCCCGAAGTAATAAATTGGTTTATAATCGTTAATAATCACTTCTGCAACGAAATTCAAGTTTAAATTTGTTGTTATTATTTTCAACTTGAATTTTTTAAATTAGCAATTTTTGAAAATTTGGGGATTGGGCTGATTTCGTTTGATTGTTTTTCGCTAAAAAAGATTTAGCCTAAGTTGCGGCTTAATTTGCCGGTTCCCACTTTCAGACACATATCAAATTAGTAATAAATGGCATGTTTATAAAGATGAAGAAACGTTTGAAGTATTTACCTTCTGGTAAGCTTAAACAGAAGCTCAAATGGTTTATAATTTCTAATATGTTGCAAGATAGGGCAGTTAGAATGCGTGATCGAATACAATTCAATTGGTTTGCATCAATGCCATGTTCGTTCAGAGACCGATGTTAAGCGATCCTATACAAACTGACGACACATTATCTTGACTCAACCACGCTTGTATTGTATCAGCACATCATGTGAACGCCGCGTTATCTATAATATTCTGTCTCTTTTCTGGTAGTGACTCAGGTGTGGTACCAGAACCAAACCAGTGAGTTTAACACCCTTTTAAACATGAACCTAATTCTGAAATAAACTTCCCAGTCTTCTTTTTTTCATTGAGTCTGATGTTAAGCTCGAATACACATCGTAGGCAACATCCTTGTAAGGCCGGTGTGCAACCACTACACACTTAAAGAATATACATGAAGTTTAAAGCAATGGGTACTCGACAGTTGACAAATTAACTCAAACAAATTGTACAGCATGCAAATCTTGCACAAATATATTGAAACAATGTTTGATTTTAAGGAGAAGCCGCATGGTGACGCAGAAAGTTGGACATATTTGGTTAATTTATTACACCGGCGAGTTAGTAAGAGAATAGTTCACTAGATAACCGATAAATATGAGTATATGTTTTGTGGGGTTTAAACACATGAGTGAACAAGATTTGCTACCATCTTATGCAGGACTAAGTTTAAACAATCCCGGTCAAGCAATATTATTGTCAGTTATTATTAATGATTTAGATCGCATTCAAATAAACCAATCACTCTTGACCTTGCATAAGCGTCATTATAGCCATTTTTGTGTGCCAATTAAAGTAAAAGTATCATCGGAATCAATTGCCCTCCCCCAAAAGTACGGAGGTTTGCAGTCGATGGCATAACTTTAGCTTGAGTTTGTATATATAGTTTTATTTGTATCAACCTTTTTGCTAGTTGTTGCAGCCACGCAGAACAACCCGGGGGAAGAGAGGAAACCCCACACATCGGATTTCTCGCGCAAGTGAACAAAGAGCTCACTAACACACAGGGCCATGGCCTATTGGGTACATTCTAGTCGAGTGCGTGTCGCAAGCAAACGTCTTCATTTTGGTGTCACCGAAACAGAGACTATGCACATCGTCCACCTGGAAGCCTGTCAAATTCAGTTATTAGAGTTACTTATATCTAATACACAAACATACTGTAAAACAAGGTACATGATTCTTCCGTTATTATAAATCACGTTGATTAAGTGACACTTGAGAGTACCACCGCGTTGGTCTTAGCACACATAAGTTGGCCTGGAGAACTTTACCTCACAGTGGGTGCTAGATAGTCATCGAAATATTAACGACATCACAAAGCCTCATCACACACATCGAGCTTATAATACGTTCAACATTTGTGAAGTAACCGAATAACTCGTTGACGTGTCACTCGATTTGATGTGGGTGGACCTCACATTCTTGCCTGATTAAAGTGCTACTGTCTTAACTCACACGCACACACATAATCATTGACAGTTTTGACGGGTTATTGGTGTCGAACTTCATCGAAAGTTAGTTTATTTCGCAACAGTAGAAGCGAATCGCATGGTGCCCAATTCTTCGCTTACGTGGCAATGACCCTCTTGAAGGCAGTGGAAAGGAGACCGGATGAACAGCAAGATGAAATGGTAGGGCGCACGAATGCACAGTGAAGCCATCTAGCCGCTGGAGCACTCCACTCCACGCTGATACACAACAGGCCTACGGCAGTCACAGCCAGCGATCAATCAAACCTTCGGTCGGATGACTCAACTGAGTTGCGTTTATGCCCAGATTAACTAATTCAAACTGAACGACCCATTTTAATAACTCCACTATTAAACAAGTAAAGGCCGTTACTGCATTCAATTGTCATTACCATTCAAGAATTTGTAGAGAGGTTGATGAAAGTGGAACACAGCAACTAGTCGTCTGAGGTGACTTGGACTCATTACGAAACTATATGTTAGGTTTGTGCGTAAATTGAAAATCAACCTAGCACAACGCACCAACATTTGCAGATTGCGCATTTAACGCAAGATTGGAAATGCCAATAGTTTGTAAAACATAATTTTCAAGTCCACATAATTACTACTTGACTACATATTGGGCAAGAGTTGGCGAACGCGTTGTTGACCTCCAATAACAAGAGTCTACAAATTAAACTAATTTGGAAAAGCGATACACAGTAGAGCATGCTTCAACTCTGTGAAAAGCAAGTTTCTATTACCAAGCCCCCAACAGCGCGAAAACTACCCACATCAAACTTCCCTTTAAGCATCCGACATGCACCCCTAAACACATTGACAACTGCAGTGAGGTCGCGAAACCACTGCAGAAGCATCAGTCAACATTCAAGTTTTTTTCCTAATCCTAAACAACAACCGCGTCTCGTGGTGCTACCGAAACGAAAGCGCAAATGCGCCTCAAATCAAAGGCACTTTGAGATGACACAAGGTGAATTGAACTGAAACAATGTGACGAGACCTGTGACAGTGCATTAACACGAGAAGTAAATACACCAGAGCAATGAAGTGAAGGTGATTAGAAAATGACACAAAAAAGGCAAAATCACAAGCCTTAGAGTGGAATGACATGGGGATTCGTGTTGAGAGGCTACAAGATGACGTCTAGACGCGCTGGACTTCGAAGAGGCGGACGTTGGTGTCGAACCAGATTGAGGGGTCGGAATTGCTACAAATTCGGAAGGAATCGATTGAGGAGGGGGGAGGGGTTTGATTCGACAAGCAGACTTGAGGTTTGACACAAGACGACTCACCGCAGATAAACCACGCCCCAAATGTACGTCCTAAACCAGATGGTGGTGCCCACATTCGACTGATACTTCCTTATCAAGATGGGATGGGGAACGGGCAGGAGGCCGACAAGGGTGCCGTTTTGGAGGAATTTGAGTATCTCCGGCTCATCCGTCAAACCTCTGCAAGGACACACAAACATTTAGACAACAAACTCGGACACGCACACACACAGACACACTGTCCGCGAGCAAGCTACGGACGCACTTCTCAATGCAGATCTTCTCCACCTGCGGCACCAGGACCTGGAGCAGACGCATCACCGTCTGGAGTGGCAGTTTGGCGTGCCAACTCGACGCCCACCGGCTGGTGGGTCGCCAGGGCGCGGGCGAAATGGAGGCCGGTCTGCTTGTTCCCGAAAGCTCCCGGTGACGCGGCTGCACGCCGGCCGTCTTCTCGTCACCTCCCTTTGCCTCCTCTTTCGCATCGCCCTTAACATGACAAATTACATTGTCGTTATTCGATACCCCCGAGGCAATTTCGTTCAACTCACCAGCCTAATACGGGTTCAGATGTGGTCATCAAGTCCCACTTTAAACGAGCCCTCAAATTCGTACTGTTTAGCAATTCATTTGAAAGCGAAAACGTGAATAAACGTGAAAATTAAAAATCACCATGCTGAAAGGCTTTCCTGGTGTTTCAAACACATCAAGTTCTGGAAGCTAGTGGATTGTCAAAGGTTTGGAATTATCACAAAAAAATCAACTCCACCGATATCCCGTGTTATTTGAGGTATCCACAAGGTGCAAATTCAGGCCGTTGGATAAATTACACGCACTTTACAATGCCCTACTTTTTTTTCCAGTGTACATAGGAACAAAGGTTATGATTGACTCTCAAACACCCGCACACAATCACATTTTCGGAAGATAAGTAACTAGGTCTCGAAATTCCACCCATTTGGGAAATCGATTCCTGAAGGACGACACCATTTAGAAAATTGCAAGTGGGGCGAATTCCGGCTGTTGGTGAAGTTTACACCAGACATTTTAAGTGCGCGATAAAATGGGCGTTCAGTTAGTAACCAATAAGACTGGACTCGACGACCAGCTAACTCGAACCATCACAGGTGTGCTGATTGGTCTGTTCCACATCAACCAATGATGATGGCCTATTCGCGGCACCCCAAAATTCCTACCACAACAATACGTACGGCATCGGCAAAGGTGGCCTTGAGTTGGACGGTTCCCGCCGCAGACGGACTGCCTTCCACCACTTGGGTGTCGGGTTCGGCAAGCGTGGGGGAGGAGGGACTCTCGTGGGAGTGGAGGTCGTCAGCGGTGGGCATCGTCTCCACCCTGACCGCCGGTTGGCTGTTGATCATGCTGGAGAGGGCTGGGGTGCCCGCCAGACTCGTCTGCAGTGGCACTGGTGTTGTTTGCTTCTGATTCTCCTACGAGAAGAATTAAATGATCTTAATGAAAAAAAAACACGACTGGCTCGATTCACTATGTCGCTCCCGAAAACAGACGGTGTTGACTTGTACTTTTGCGTTAATAAGCCGAAAAAACGACTTCAAAGAACACCGTTTCAGAGAACTACGCGTGAAGTCGATACTGTGGTCACATGTGGACAGAAATTGCAGCTGTGGTTTCATTTTCTTGAGTGTTTCTAATTTGCAAATCACAAATCGACCGTGTCAAGCAAGACAGGCACGGACAAATCACAAGCACGTACAACGTCTCCCTCTTCAGCCACGTCTGCACTGGCATCAGGTTTGGTCGGACCACTGCTGGGTGTCGAATTGGTCTCACCATCCGCAGGCGCCGGTTCGCTGTGGTCCGCCTCAGCACCACCACCACCACCACTGGCAAACGCCGTCTCCGCCTCCTCTTCCTCCTCCTCATCGTCGTCGTCGTCAGTGTCAGGAGGCACCTCGAAGCGCTGAAGGCCACCGTGCTTGGCAAGGACTTCGCGAATATCCGCATCAGAAGTGGGCAAATTGGCGAGTCGGTAGAATACTTGTCTCTTGCGAATGATGGTATAGACTAAGCAAGAGTTGCCTGTGGAGGTGCAAGGGTAAAAGCAACATCATCAGCGGAAGTTGGGTCCTGTCAAGCAGGAAAGTGCAACAACGACAGCTAACGGTGAGCCTCAATACCTTAAAGTCGAAGGCTTGAGAAGTGTGGTGTGGATCGTAGGGAAACATAAAAACAACATAGCGATTGGCCCTTTCGGTTTATCTACAGGGTTATGGCTATGTGGGGGATGCAAATACCATTTGCCAACGGAGCCCCAATAATGATCCACCGTTGCCATAGTGAAAAACGAATCTCCCGCAGTTTGCCAAATCTGGTAATTTCTTTAGTCCGTGCTGGTTCATCCAGTTCGTGGCATGATCGCATTCCGGCGACGTTGTTACGGGTGAACTGATTCTCATTTCCAGCGATGATTCGACTCAGGAAATACACGATTTTACTGCGTTTAAAATGCAGCCCACAAATGTTGATACTTCGTGTTGGGTTGATTTCATTCAATCTACGCGCAAAACAAACACGCAGTCTATTGCAAGGGATCCAGAACACTTTACCCTTAATCAACTTGTGCACGCGTGTTCGGCCAAGAAATCGACACCAAAGACTTCGCATATCTCGGTGTTAGTGACGGCAGTTTTCTTGTGTTTATAAAAATAGAAGGGGAAAAGAGGCCAAGGGTGCTTGTTTTTGTAGTCCATTTTAAAATGGCACTAAACTAACAGCGTCAAACCAAACCAACGCGCAATTTGTTCTTAAAATAAATCGAAGGCCACATTTGGTAGATGCTAAACAGTAAAATCCTTGACGCTGACGACAGTCCCTTGATACAAACACAATTTGTTGGGGCCGAAATTACTTTCTAGCCAGCCAATGGAAGATGACACTCACCGACGTGGTGGTCCAATCACGTTCTGCGCCTGAGGATGATACAATGAACTCACGCTATGTGCACAAAGCGTTCAGGTTCTGGGCAAGTACTACAGCTGCCACTCACCGTCAAACTGGTATTGCACTATGTTATTGAAGATTTCCAGGAGGAAAAGCACGAGCTGGTAGTTGTTTGGGGCTGAGAAGAGGAACCACGGTTGGCTGAAGGCCTCTGTCAAGTGCAGCAGCTTCGACGCCGAGATCATGGACAGGCTCTTTATGTACGGGGACACTGCAACAGGTGCGAGAATCGGATAAGCGTCAAGTATAGCAGGAATCAATTCACCGGATTTTGTCACGTACCAACAAGATTATGATAATTGCGTGGTTAAGTTTGATAAAATAAAGCCAAGGACACAATTTCGATGGTAGACTTTATAATCCCAGCACCACGCGCTACAAAGCTCTACTACACTGAAAATTTTCCGTTTCCGACAATTCCGCAAAACCTAGTCGCCGGAATCAGCCACGACGATGACCCATTAACCACTTTCCCATAAACGCCCAGGTTGTTCGCACTTTGTGATGACAGCAGTAACCTGGCAATGCATAACCCACACACACACACGCGATGACCGACACCCGTGTATACGAACTTGCGTAAGGTGTAACAAAAAGGAATTCTCAGTGAAGTAGAGAAATTTTAGCGTGAAGCGAAATTGGTGTGTGTTGCCGAGGCATCTTGCACGAACGAGGGAGGACGAAAGCTACGCTGAATTGTAACAAATCTTTAAAGACCGCCGCTTTTTGGTGCTAAACAACCTGATGTGAGACAGTCAAGTTAGGAAAATGAGGCAGATTCGCTGCAAAAAGGTCAGGACTTAGAACCAATCGGAACAACCAATCTGGTTTGCAGGAAATTTATTCACAAACGAGTGCAATTGGCAGAGGAACGTACCATTATCAATGATGGTTATGAAGCAATCAAATAGAGGTTGAAGACATTGGTGGCCGGTCGTGATGATTTTGTGGAAAACCTGGCAAAGAAAAGAACCTGTTGGTCAGTTTCCGCGATGCCTTGACACAGGAACTGCCAAAACGAATTCGCTGACAAATAAAGAGCACTCTGGCAATCCTTGGTAATTGACTTATGCGATCTCTATCTCTCTCTCAAACAAACAACCAGACCACCGTGGTAATCGGGAGGGAATTTGTGGTGATGCAACGGGGAACGTCGTCTCAAGGCTCATATCTGCATTTCCCATTGAGATTGGAATCAGTCGAGGCAACTACCAGTATATCGGTTAGAGTGTTGCCTAGGGTCTAAAAGCTAGTTACAGACGAATCGGTGTCACCAGACTGTTCAGAGCTAAGCAAAGTAAAGAGTTTATTTCTAAATCGCAACCATGAGGAGCATCGGATTTACCAAAAGCTCCGAATAGCTTCATTCTCAGACGGCCAACCTGAAGTCAGGCATAAATCTTCATCAGACCAGTGCTATTTGTGTCAGCAAGGCAGTTAAACGTGACACTTTATGAGTTCGGGTAATTAAGGAAGATTAAGCACCAACCTACCTGCCACACACGCGGTGTTTAGTGTTTAAACGTCAGAGGTCAACAGTTCTGCAGGGTGATTAAACTAAGCACAGTGACTAGCACACCGAGGAGCAAGGGTATGGACACGTGAATTTGTTACGCAACATATACAATAACAGTCACATGGATTAAAAAACATAACTACATTCTAAAAAAATTCCGACGTACTAACAGGTTTTGCACGGTGCGCCACAAGCAATTTTGGTGAATTTTCACGCGAATTGATTTCATGGCTGGTCCTGGTTATTGCTATAAAACCAACATATTGCATTTGTACGCTTTCATGTACATATTCATCCGTCACGTGATTCAGTGGCCGTTTGACAACATCGGTAAACGCTGCAAGCTGCGGCCAGGATCAACACGTGAACACAAAGTCGCACCTTTCATCATTGCTAGAGAACAATGAGTCGTGTTGATAAAATGGCTGATATTCGAACTAGAAGCAGCCTCGTTAAGAATTTGACATGACCTTCAATGGGGGGAATAATTTCGTAAATATTGACGAGACCGAATCCAAAGAAAGTGCGGACCTGCGAGGCAGCACCGAGCCTGCTCCAGCCGGTGACGACAGGTCAAACTTGACGGCTAATGCAATTAAGCTCTCCCATTCCGTGTAAGTAAATTACTAGCGAAATCGACAGCTTTTGATAAGGCACGACCAAGGGGCTAAGGTCCCATTCCCCAGTTGTGTGTACATGTGTGCCATACGCCGTCACAAATGCAAAAATTTAACGGAAAAGCATAAACGACAAAGATCCTGTCGAAAGGTTATTGCACACGGCGAAGCTGAGTCGGAAAGAATTGACAAGGGTGTCCTAGACCGGCACAATGCTGCTAGGGGAATGAGTGTCTAGAAATCTAATCTGTCAGACCACGGTAGAGAAAGCACATACGATTATCAGAAGGTCCGCATGGTTGCCCGTGAAAACGGTGATGTCGAACGCGGTGCGGTTGGTGTAAGGCTTGTTCAATCGGACGCCGAAGTTGCGCTCTCCGCTCAGGAGGAGGATAATGAAGACCCCGATGTGCATCAAACCAAGTTGTGCTACAAACAAGTGGCAAATATCAGTGGCCCTCTCTCCGACATCAAAACCTGACACCTTAATAGTTACCAGGCGCCAACTTAACAACAACAGTAATACTGTGCAGCGAGTGTCGACACGAGAATGGCATTAGGACTGAGCCGATAGAGAATATTTGCGGAGCTTAGTTGAGCGGCCGATACCAGAGCTATTACTGGATGATAAAATGAACTCAGGATTTTCTTGCCAAAGAAACGGAATTTTTTTCAAGTGAAATGCTTTAACTGGGCCAGAGATTCTTGACTGAATTATGGAAATTATTTCCAAAATAAACCTGGGCAATGGCTACCCACGACCAGTTGATGTTGAAGCATTAATAGATGCTAACTAGTAAGAATGGAGAATGCACAGGGCAGCAACATTTGCATGAACTTGACATTAATAACGCTTAGCTAATTAAAAATTAATTTTTCTATGTAAATCAAACTAATACTGAATTTAAGGCATCGACTGAACGAAGATTAGGCAAGTCACAAAAAATAAAACTGAACCGACAAAACGGTGGTGTTAAAGAAACTTACACTTGTCGCCCCTTGCCTCGTTAAGGTGATACAAGATGGGGACCAAAACGTCCAAAACGCGGCTTGACTTAAGAACATAGTACATAAACTTTCGATTGATATCGCATACGCGCCAAAACAGGATGAGTAGTTCCTGATGCATTTGAACCTTTTTCGCCGAACCCGGCAGGTAGGTCTGAGTGAGCGGATTGTTTAAAAGGCGTGTGATTCCATCAAGAATGAAGGAGAAGTCCTGTCGGGAAACGCGCGTAAGACACATAGTCGAGGAAAAAGTAAAATTCAAAAAAAAGAAGACTTACTTCGTCGCGATGAATCCGAGACATGTAATTCAAAAAAAGGTTGGTACTGCTATCGTCGGAGCCTTTGCTTTCGGTTCTGGACGATTGAGCAGCGTCTTCTTCTAAATTTCGAGTATCGGCTTCCAGTGTCACACAGAGAACCTGCAAAGCAGCTTCAACCAGAGGTTCTCGGGAGTCTGTGAACATCAGATGATTATATGGGAGAGACGAGGAGGCGGGGTTATAGGCACAAACAACATTGAGTAATGAAGTAAATAGTGGGAGAACATGCCGGTTCTCGGGACCAGAGAAAAATGCTATCCACTTATTTGTTACAGTGCGTGCCTCAGCTTGGGTAAGGTACATGGTCTCCGAGAAGCAAACAAGAAGGAGACGAATGATTTCGGTGCGATTGGCATCGTGCTGGGCATTCTGTGGAGGAGACTGAGCGAAACCCACGCCAGCTTCCCAGATGTACTCGCAACTATCGATTGTGTGCATGTCTTCGGCGTTCTCCTGGGTAAATACGTGATAATGTGCGAAACATCTTATACAAGAACGAAAGTGAAATGAAAAAGATAACGCACCGGACCGGGCTTGACTAGGGAGTGGACTGTAAAATCTGGACAAAAGAGAAGATCCTAAGCAAACATTAAGAAATATCGACACACTTACGCATAGTGAAGAAATCAGGGTCTGTGCTAAGGGGACGTTATAAGTCTAGGGAAAAAGATGAGGGTTGAAAATAACATACGGAATCCGGATTGGAATCTGGTTGAGAGGGTAAAGCTGACCAAAAGAAGGGCCGCCACTCTGGGTCTTCAAATATGTACGGCATAATACGTGTGAGGAGCCTCACGCAATTGATAGCTAAAAATTAAAAAGGAATCAAATCTACCAGTTTGTTGATCCTGTGTGGTTGGAAATGAGGCTTCAGCAATTTGGGCCAGACGTTCCACTGCTTTGTAACATAGTGTTGCCAGGTTGCTGGGGCATTCTTCCCTAAGCAGCCTTATTTCATTACCTGGAACAGAGGTAAACAAATCACCGATAGGAGTAGGTCCTCCACTCCAGAACTGGTCCCAGAATTCATCATTGTTAGCGTCGATAGGCTGAAGTGTAAGAATACAATAAAAATTACCTGGGTTTTGTTGTTTAATTCAACAAAAACACTACGATAGCTTAATTTAGCTTGGCCTGAGCCCATTTCAGCAGGCTTTAACTCCAGATCGCCAACAAAACACGCAAAATCAGTTTGCCAACTTCAATTTGTGTTCTCGTTAACACTGATAAGATAAACAATTATTGAAATGCCACTTTCGGACTTAAATCGCATACTTTCAAAGCAAACTTTACTCGAGGTTTTCATATATTATATACAACGAATAAAGTGGTAGATAAGTTGATTCAAGAACTAGGGTCTTTGAGTTTGTTTCAAAAGTGTTTCATAGATCATTTAATGATAAAGATGCCTCTATGGATGTTACATGATCAAAATTAAAAATAAGTTCCTACATTCATATTTTTAAGGTCAGCTGACTTCTAATTATCAAGTAAACTTAATGGTGCATTTTTATGAGAAAAGACTGATTTAGACAGAAAATGGTGTATTCCTGAGGCAAATATGCGACCCATGGACCAATTTAATGTGATTGTATTTTTATTAATATAACGCTTTGTTTCAAAATTAATAACGCCTCGTATAAATAATCCGCAGTTATTTGAAGTAAAATATAAAAGGCTAATTTGGACATGTCTTTAACTGCAAATACTTTCAGTTAATCGCCTAATTTTCTGTTGACAAACCCGAGAATTCGTAGTGAATTAGGTGAATTTGCGATCAGCACTATGACATATGACTGACCACAGTTTAATTTCATTCCACTGAATCGGATCCTGCATTTTAACCTCCTAATTTGCTTTTCATTTTTTTATTTTTCTTGGTATCGGTGTAATTCAATGTCCCTAATAACAACCAACCAGCCATGTACACACTTATGTACACAAAAGCTGACTTATTAGGCCCGTGACTTATTATTAAGCACAAGCAACTACGCCATACCCACCAGCAGTTTGTGAGTCTCCATTGCCTCTGGTCTGCTCGTTTCACGTGGTACGCAGTATTGGAATGGGCTTCAACAGCAATGATTTTTAGCGATCATGCCTGCGTCTATAATCATAATACGAATTTGAAAGTTATCAGAATTAGCAAGTCGACGATATTCACAATGCACTTCGTCGACCATTGACAAATCTCGTACAATTTAAACATTAAAAATGACAACTATTTGCCAGTCGAATATGTCCGAATTCATCTTCGTAATTTGCTTGACAATTAAACACCGATGGCCAAATAAATAAATGCTAATCTGATGCAAACTAACCATTAATTCAAGAATCAAATTTCACAATTGAACAACACATCTGTGATTTTTATTCGCATTCACAGTGTTCGACTGGAAACCATCTGCTTGTGGTACATTCTGTCCTGTCGGAGCAATTTTCCACTCACGAAATTTGCGACAAAAGCATGTTTTTCCGAAATACCATGCAAATATTTTTATTTTGTTAGCAATTATTTTAGCAGATCACGTTTGCTCACATATGAGTTGGCACTAAATAACACAGCTTAGAATATGTCAACGACGAGTATATTCCACTAAAACTCTCTCGGTTTCTAAAGTTTTCTTTTTCGGAATAAATGCAGCCACTTCTATTTCAAGTCGTAAACCATAAATGAATAGGCAGTTTCTAGAACCAGACTTCGATATTGTGATTTAACTCTGTCGCTGACAAAGACCGAAAAATTTTTATGGAAAGAATAAGGCCTAGAATTCAAATTTCGGAATAAAACAATACTAGTTTAACAAGATCTAAAAATATCGAGTTAATAAATCAAGAAACTACAATGAAATTTAAGCCATCTTTGTATAAATTAGGCCTGGTTATATTTGGAATCAGTTTTAAATGTCAAATAAACAGACCAGTTTTGGCTTAAATATAATGCACCACTTAAGCGGCAATAAAGATATATGCACCATTCCAAACTAAAAGTAATACGTGGTCCAGCACTGTCATTGTGAAAGAATACAAAGCGTTTTCGGTTCAGCAAATGTAGTCAGAGTTTAGCATTTAACTTGATCAGTCGCTCATCGTACACCTCCGCAATTGTTTCTCGGTGACGTAAAAAAGCCCGACCGTTATTTCTCATTTTTATTTGCCATAATAACCATATTTTAAGATATCCGTCTTTAATTACTCAAGCACACGTTTTTTAAAACTAGCGAATCGGAAAGTAAAGCAGGTGCTGTCCTTTAACAGCCAGCGGCCTTTTTGTGATAGTGTGCTGCTCGTGTTTTGTAACTTGTGGTAAGTTCGGTACGTAATTTTCTGTCTTATTTTTGTAGTGATGTCTAACGTATGTGTTACACCCGACTGTGGAAAGCCAGCTACGCTTCGCTGCCCTACTTGTATTAAGCTGGGCATTACCGGCTCATATTTCTGCGACCAAGCATGTTCTTTCTTTTTTTATAAATTTATTTATGCAGACTTGCTTTAAGAAGTACTGGAAAACCCACAAAAATCTCCATTTGCTAGCAGGTTTGTTGTTTTTTAGGGATAATTGTGTATTGTTAGAGGGCAAATGTATCTTTCCTCCATCTGAGTACGAGAGTATCTTTGACGGATATCACTTCACCGGCCCTCTCAGGCCGTCACAGAAAGTAATTAGCTTCGTCGCGTTATATCGGACACCATGTAGACTCCTTACAGGGCTGTACCGGCTCACATTCGACGTCCTGACTATGCCGATACTGGTATCCCTGTGTCGGAAAGAGAAGCTAAGAGCTCTCACTCTATCATTAGTCTTAATGATGAAGAGATGGAAAGCATGCGGGTGACTGGAAAGGTAAATTGTTCATAATGACGACTACTGTTGACGTGTGACTGAGTTTGCTTTAAACTTGCTCTCAAAGTCGTCTGATCTTGATTCCTTACTTTTACACATATTTTGTCGTTTTCAGCTAGCACGAGAAGTCCTGGATGTGGCAATAGAGGCAGTCGATATTGGCGTTACAACTGACGAGATTGACAGGATTGTTCACGAGGTGTGTGAATAATTGTTTTTGTTCTGATTCGCGTTTGACATTTCATGTGCCTTTTATTTATTTTAGGCCTGCATTGAGCGAGAATGCTATCCTTCGCCACTGAACTACTTCAATTTCCCGAAGTCATGCTGCACGTATGATCCATTATTTGGCAAATAGATTTCCCTTAGCTCGGTGAATGAAGTTATTTGTCACGGAATTCCAGATAAACGGCCTCTTGTCGATGGAGATATACTTAACAGTAAGCTGTGTGTATGTTTTAGTGTTCTTTCTTAATTAGAGCGCATTAAGTCTACCAAATAGCGCCCTATGATTTTTTTCCTCCAAACTGAGTTCCAATATCCATTAAAATTCATATCCAAAGTCAAATGACGATTATACCTAACTTTAAGAGGAATGCAACCAGTTGATACTTCAAAAGTGTACAGTTTGAAACACTATGAAGGCAGAAGAACTAGGTATGTGTTTAAAGTAGCAAAGTTAATACCTTTTAAATTTGAATGGCCTGGATTATGTTTAGACCCTGTAGTTTTTAGAGGTTGAATTAATCTAGTTAAAAGGCCAAAAATATTTGCTTAAGTTTTGTGAGGAAGTAGTTTCCCTTAATGAACTACGCTGCATTATGTGTGAGTAGTAGTAGTGGTTTAGATATTTTGCCTGTCAACATCGTGGTAATTGGCTACTTCATTAAAGGTTGGTTCCAGGTCAATGGTGGCCCGTGAGTGATGCTTGTCCTTCGTCATAGGAAAATGATATGCTTTTAATTTGCGTGAAATGATGTGATTTGATTTTGTAGTTGACATAACAACATACTTTGGTGGTTTCCATGGCGACGTCAATGAAACCGTTTTTGTCGGAACCCCCGACGAGACTTCGATTCGTCTCGTCAAAACTACCTACAATTGTCTCGCCAAATCAATGGATGCAGGTGAGTCGGTTTTGAGATGCTCTTCTTTTTTGCTTAGTTCATAACCTTTTAAGACTATCTGCACCACCAATTGAAACATTTTTCTTCGTGAACCTTCCCCTAGGCTAAAGTCCTTGTTCCTACACTCAGCCTGGTGTCAGGGAATTTTAATAATAATGATGAATGATTGGGAAGGTTCGTGCCTGATTTGAGCAGATGTTAAAGACGTGCACTTTTCAGCGTGATTTTATTTCTTTTAAAACCATGCCATGAGTCAAGCTTACCTCAAAAAGGGGTGTGTTCAGGGTTAATATTCGAAGTGGTAAATGAGAAGCTGTGTGTTTGTCATGCTATAACAGGAAAAAATGATTTCCAAGACGTTTTTTTGTATTGTGTCATTGCTCCCAGGACAGGTAAGAAGTGCTTTAGTAGATTTTAAAGTCGTGACTTCAATCAAAACAATAGACTTTGCAATGGGGGGCTTTCCAGAATTGGTGATGGCTGTACCCGTGTTCCGGTGATTAAAATGTGCGGATCGCCGTCGAGGTGATTGCAGAGTGGCTAAGCGACGGCAATGCACTGCCATTCCTCAATTTAAAGCAACTTGGAGGCAGTTGGGAACTCGGCGTATGAGTTGCACTCGAAATGACGAAACGTAACAGGCGAGATCGGGTTTTGGCAATTACTTCTCCTCCCTCCGATAGACTAAACGAGCCTCTTTGAGGATCAGGTCAACCTGTAACTGGATGATGGTTAGCGAATGCGTGGCAAACATTGAAGTGTCGCATCCAAAGGAAGTCTTGTAATGTGTGTGGTAGAGAGGGTGGAGGAGGGTAATTATTTTCGAGCCTCTTCCACGAGCCTAAGTAACTGCAGAGAGGTTCAGTGAGCAGCTCATCCAGGTAAATGCTGAACTCGGAGCAAATTTGCCAAGCCACGCTGGGAAATCCTCTATCACCCACCGTGCTCCCCTGACCCTTACTCGCCTGGTTTTAATCTGTTTCGTTCTCTGCAAATAACGCGGATGGCAACAAATCTGATTGTAGGGAAGTAGTCGGAAATGATCTTAGAAATTCCCTTTAAGAGAAATCGTGCATTCCCTACACTGAAGGATTTCCAAAATAGACATGTGAATCGTCTAGTAATGGTTGTAGAGCTTGATTAATAACTTTTTTTATGAACACACGTTGTATTTAATGTGGATTCGAATCTGGCAGGATCGTCTGCTTGAATTCGTCAAAATACATCATGCGGGCGTGAAAGTTTTCAACCCTCGTAACTGGGAGTCAATAGACTGCCAGTTCGAGCCTGCTTCTGTAGCCTTTACAAGGGCCATTAAAATGCGGTGTGTTTCTTTTGAGCTAGCCGTTTGCTATTCTTGTGCGACCACTGAACGTGAATTTAGTAAACTTTGTTTTCTGTGAAATGTCTGTTACTACAACGACAAGGTATGTTCGGTTGTCGAGGAAGCAACTTTCGGCAAAATTTCACGCTTCGAAAGTACTGAAAATTTGTTGGTGATGGGTCAGCGCTATGTGGAGATGACACGACATCACCTCTCAGCTTTGCTGCAATGGCGTTTCAAAAGATACCAGATGGGAATTTGTGTGTGCCTGCCCCTGTGTTGCCCCAATAGAACATAATTCCTTGACGACATATCAATTCTGAGGGTTCTCCTTTGATTACTTCCTCAATTGTCGAGTCGTTTCAATAGGTGATGACAGTAAACATCTAAAGGAGTTGTTTGGCGGTGTGGAAGCGCCAAATTGACGACTGCAGCCTTCGACGTGGTTGGTTGATTTTCATCAAGCTTTCACGACAACATTTTGATTGGCGCACTTGTTGACGATTCATTTGTCATTCAGCAGCCTGTTATATCATAAAGTTACAAACTGATTGAAGCATGACTTTGATTTGGCTAGTAGTGATTGAAACGACTTCGCCATACCTCTTGAGTGCAATTTTCCTTAGCCAATTCCTGTACATGCGTCCTCTTAAGCCATCAGCACCATAGCCTCTGGGTGTCTCTTTGCAGACCTCGTCACCTGTTTTTAAGCAAATGAAATTGTGACTTGCATTCCACTTTAAAATGCAAGCGAAATTACGCGTGACGTGTTCCTACTGTAGGCTGATGAATCACACCTGACAGGTATGAGATAAAGAAAAGCATGGCATTGACGGGAGTCCTTCATGACAATCAACAGCTTCTTTTTTTGTAAAACTGAAATTACTTCTCCTTCTAATGCAGAATATTAAAATGAAAACACTACTATGTGTTTTTTGGAGCGTCGAGGCATGCACCTTGCCCACACACGCAATTTTACGGCATTGGGGTCTTGTTTTAGGGTTTTCTAGTGCCTCTTTCCTGAAGGTATGTGTGTGTGTGTGCGTGTGCGCGCTAAATTCACCTTTTTTGTCAGCCTTCAAGCCGAGCCACTTTGTTTTACTGAAGTGGATGATCAAGATGCGTGTTGAACCGAATCAGAGCACTGGTTATTGGCAAGTGCATTGCAATCGCACTGCACTAGTATGGATGGATGTTGGTCGCGAATAGACCAAGTCGACTTGCCATCCACCACCACCACCACCTCCTCATCCTCTTCTTCTTCCTCTCTCTCTCTCTCTCCCTCGCCTTTCAAAACAGTTCGTGTGGGTGTCAGGTACCGCGACATGGGCGATGTGATCTCCCACCACGCCAACCTCGGGGGCTTCTCCGTGGTGCGAACCTACTGCGGTCACGGCGTACACCGCCTGTTCCACTGCCCGCCCAACGTACCCCACTACAGCGGTGAGTGCCTTCTAAGTTAACCCCAACCCACCTGGCTCCTGTTTATCTGCTGGCCTCGGCGCATTGACAGCCACTCTTTTTCAACAAAGCAGTTAGCTGACGATTCGTGTTTTGAGTGAATGCCTTAGAGTGCACAGACGTAGGACTTCATTTTCTGAACCCGAAAACCTCTTCATGGCAAGCGAAAACTAAATTTCCCCTTTTATCACCGTTGGGAAATCGGGCTTAAGTCGCATTTTTGTTGTTGTTTTTGTGGTAGGATTTCGGGATTAGAACGATGCGCTACTGAGGCACTTGGGATTATGATTCTATTAGTGAATCTTGGGATATACCGTGTGTCTGAATGCGACACAAGTCCGTTCGCCTGCCCCCTTCTAGTCGGTATGATTTAACTGAATGCAGGCGCTGATCGGTTGTTTGATTCTGTGGTAGCATTTCCTAGTAACTGGGACTCTAGTAGGGCCCCGCCAGGGCACATTCAGCAAATCCGTTTTGTTCTGCCGCCTAAGTAATATCGTCCGCAAAGACTCCAAATTTTCCGTTTTTTGTGCACACGTGGTCGTGCACGATTGATACTAGGGTTTCATATGGTTAAATTAATAGACTGTGGTGCACGCACCACGACCAACTGTTAACCGTGGCTGTTTTTAAAAGTCTTCTGTAAAATTATAAAAAAATGCCGTTTTTATTTGGTGTATGACTTAATTTGTACAGATTTTTTCGCAAATTTATCCACTATGGCAAAATAAGGAACAGCGAACTTAACCTTGGAAATTTTGGCCATCTTTTTCTATGACCTTGCGCCATCTCTCAAGTAACTTACAAATGCCATCGCGAAAGAAACTTGCCGGCTTCGAAGCAATCGATTCCTCGTCCTCGGAGCAGGCAGGAGGGGGTGTGGTGGGGCGAGGGGGCTCGGGAGCTCGGACAGGGCCTCACCGCGCGAGGTGCCCGCGACCGCCTTGGTGAATGGGATGGCGTCCCAAGTGGCGCTGGCCAGACGCAATACGTCGTAGTCGCGTTTTGCGGCACCTCCAGTTAGGCGCGAAGGGACGAAAAAGAAATATGGGGGTTTTTTTTAAAGGATTTAATCACACACTGACCAAAAAATGTGGACTAGAGTGCAACGAGGTGACAAGAGGGCGCAGTGACTGGTACGGGATTAGTCAAGTGGTTGCCGCTTTCGGACACGAAAACAACCAACTGCGAACTCGTCGATTGAAGAACCTTGCCGAAAATAAGCTGCTACACAGGCTGAGGTCATGACGAATACGAATTATTTGGTGTATGACTTAAATTTTACAGATTGCACTTCTGAAACGTTTGTACCAATAACTTCAAGTTCCAGAGAACACGAATTCGGCACCAAGAACACCACAAATTTGATTCCTGTGCTTCAGAAGTATTTTCTCCTTTCTGAAATTTCTATAACATGCAGTGCGGAATGTATTGCTTGTCAATTGCCTTAGTAAATTCTCGTAGAGTTGTCGGTCGGTGTTCTCAAAACTTTGCGTCCGACTCTTTGAAGCCACGAGAGACCGCAAAATATTTTAAGCTCGATTAAGTCATACACCTGATATTACCTTTTTTGTAAAATGATCTAATGGTTGGCAACACGGTTGTGTCGGTTTTGCACATCGTGATCCTTTTTTGTCCATTCCTGCAGCCAACAAGGCGGTGGGCGTGATGAAACCGGGCCACTGCTTCACCATCGAGCCGATGATCAACGCAGGGAGCTGGCGTGATGACGTGTGGCCGGACAAGTGGACCGCAGTCACCGTGGACGGACTTCGCTCGGCCCAATTCGAGCACACCATGGTGATTGTGAAACGCGGCGAAGGCCTCGAAACGCCCGCCATGCTGGAGGGCGGCCCGCCATTGGATGTTATGACGGCGCGCCGTTTGAAAGGCGAAGACAAACTGGCCAATGTGGACCTGCCGTCGGAGCAGAAGCTGCACTTTCTTCGCTACGGCCGGCCACACTTTGTGGATCAGTTGCACGCCCTGAAAATGGACGTTGCTAAGATCCTGGACACGGCGGACACTCGATCTGCCTAACTAGCCGCAGTACACTCTCGCACCTGTGTTTACGTACATTTATACAGCCGCTCAAGTGTGATTGGTTGTTGTCAGTACATGATCGATTCCGAAGTGCCTTGTCCTATTCACCCTCAGTTTCTTTTTCTAATCCTCCTGTCGGCTTGCTAACTGTGGTTTTAGCCAAACGTGGAGTGCAGAAACTCAGTTATCGAGCCCACAGCAGTTGCTACCGAGTGTATTTATGGCGGTTGTTGTTGTTTAAACAGACGGCAAAGCCACGCGACTGGCGCACGTGCGTTATGAACCGAGGGTTGTGTTTACCCAAGTGTGGGTTGTCCAACGTGCTTTGTTATTGTAAACAGCAAGAAATGTCAACAGTGTTTGCGGGTGCCGTAGCCCGTAGTCACTTCGGAATCATTCTCAGTATGGAATGTTTTGCCTTGTTGATCAGTGTTTTGGTGCCTAATGATCATTGTCTGTTTAGGAAACAACACATTTAAACTTAGCTAGTTCAAATTTGGAAATGGTTAAACATAAGAGAATAGTAAACCTGTTGTTGTAGAAATTACCATTCAAGTCACAACGGTTGTAAGGCACGTTGATTATCTAAGTAAATAGCGATTTAGAAGCAGTCTCTTGGGTCAACAATGTCAACATGTATTACTTACAACCGCTGTCAGTAGTTCTGTGTCGCGTTGACCGTCACTTCCGTTTAACTTGTCCCAGGTGGTCAGCCATCTTTAGTTCAACAAAACCCTTTTAGTCAAGTAAAAGGTAGTGTTGACGTCACTTCTTTAGTGTCGGGTTTAAATGATGCAAAATAGGCCAAATTAGTAAATAGTTATGTTCGCCCGTAACAATAGAGAATACCACTCAAATAACGGTACCAGATCCCTCGCTGTAAGCTAGAACCGACCTTCCCAGGCTAATACCAGAACAAGACCAGAGCTCGAGTAGAGAGCTTTATTCACGTCAGCCACGTGCAGAGAAGAAGTGAAATCGAAACTAATTCAAGTCAAGGTCAACCTTGACTTGATAAAAGCGTAACAAAACAAATGTTAATAAATTAATGTAAATAAAAT